GTGGAGCTGTCCTTGACACCTACGCAGCACACTGAGTAAATAGGAAGCTTGTTAAAGTCACATTGGATGGGTCCCTTTTGGGCCATCCGAGGGTGATGTGTGTAGCGCGACATGTTTAGGACTGTCAGGAGCCCAGAAATGAGTTCTGTACTGATGGATGCTTGTAATGTCGATATATAGTGAGAGTCCTTTCGACAAAACACAAAACGTCTTTCTAAGACAACATATTTTTTTATCCTTTATCATAATTAAGTCAGTTGTAGTATTTGTGAACTGAACCTCTCGGCTTCACCTTAATAAGCATCAGTCTTAAACGGTCTTATGTTTTATTTATTGTAACACTATAATCACTGCAATATTTGAAACATAACTGTTTATGTTAATTAGGTGGCGAATTAAGTTGATAAATGTCTTAATTTACATATCTCTATGTCAGCATGTTAGCACATAACAAGGGTTTGTTGATATATACAGTATATTATGCTTAAGTACAGTATTAGTGTTTCACAATAGACCATTTTGCGATGTGATTACACCGGGCGTGATGCCAAATTGGGCCAGTGGCGTAAATTTGGGGATGCAAATGGCCCCTTCCCCACTTCCTATCCCCCTGTACTTCCTATCCGCCCTTGCTCCGACCGCACCCATCTTCAAACTCACATTTCATTTTAAACTGAACTACTTTCGTGACACTAAACCAGGCCAGGGGCGTAAAGTAGGGGAACAATGGCACCTTCAGCCTCCTTGCTCAAACCACACCCGTCTTTAAACTCGGCCATCATCTTGATCTCAACTATCTTGGTGACTAATTGTGTCCACAGACAGAAAAGTGGCAAAGTGCCCTGTGGTAGTGCCACACACAGACTCGTGATGTGAAAACAATACCAGCATTGCTGTTGCAGCTGATAAAGAATATCTTTTCGTCAATAACATAATTTTCTTTATGGTTTGCAAGAATCTGTCCACACATGACTGACATGTATGACAACATAATGTCCTGCATTCTTTACTGCATATATATCACGGTGTCAGGGCATTGAAATGGCAGATAAGGGTGGTTCAGTTAGCCAACTGACATGAGACTGATTTATCACCTGACATACACAGAGTTCATATTTGGCATCTAGACTCTGACCTTATCACTCACGGCAAGCATTCACTAAGTTCAGCAGCAGGAAGAGGCGAGCAAATGACAATAAACTTTCCTCCTCACAGGAGAACTTAGACTCAGTCAACATGTGGATGCTGTGCTGGAGGTGGAGCGTGTGAACTGACATGCAGCATATACGTATGTGAACAGCAATGGCAGCTACAGCAGGGACTTTAAAAGCAGAGTTAGCAAAAAATCTGCAGAGCAGAGCAAACCAGTGGGAATAGAGATGGAGCACACAGGCTCTATATATCTTATGAAGGTCATTATAGGTATAAGGACATGGATGTTGCCGAGTAGCAGACGTTTAAATCACACAACAGGACTTATCTAACTAGTGGATGAATATGGCAAAGGCAAACTCATAGACTGTATAAAATATGGAAATAGTCACTCATAGGTGACAAGAGCCGTTGTTAAGCTCAAAGTGGGTGGCCCCAACCGTGGGTTAGGGTTAGGGATTAACCCTAACCCTATTTTCATTGAAACCCAAGTGTTCTTGGCACTTTTTGGGGGCAGAGTTGGCATCATTGTTTGAAAGTAATGTTGCAGCAAATTGTGTGTAATTTGTGACAGACGCAGTGATGCTAGTATTAAGCCTAACCTAGCTTCACTGCATTATTTTCCAACTTTTTATCAATTTGGTATTATTGCTCACCTAGCCCCAGATTGTGCCTTTTGTACTACATTCATGTCACAGAGTCAAAACCCTCGCAATACCTTAAAAGGTAAAGTTGAACTGACCCATTTCACAACAAACGTCTTGACCTGTCAAACACAGGCGTCTCTAATAACATTATTAATTGTTGCGTTTCATTGCAGTGATCGCTGGAACATAGACATCCTTAATGTTATTGGTTCCACCTGTGCTTTTCCTGCAACGGCAAGTCCAAATGTCTGCTGTTGTGAAACCGGTTCATGAATACCATTCATTTGGGAACGATGAGGCAACGATTTTTATAGTGAGGCTTTAAAAAAGAAAGTTCAAGCTGAACAGACTTTTGAAAAGAAAAATTATGATGCTCATTAAAACAACATGTCAGCCTGTCTTGCTCTGCAAGTCATTGTCTTTATACGGAAGACATATGTGTCTTGTGCAAGAAGTTTGGCAGTTTGGCAAAGTTTAACTTGTTTTTTTTCAAGAAACTAATGATTAATGTGTGAGAAAAGAAACATGAAGTTCATGTTCTTGATAATTTTATTTGCCCCTTGACACTATTTAAAATGCAATCAATTCACATGAGGATTTTTGATGGAAACCACACAGCAACATGTCAAATATTTTTATACGGGTATGAGAGATGACTCAGCTTCTTGTCAATCCATTCAGGTCAGCAGTTTACGGTAAAACCTGATCTCCAGATCTCACAGGATATTGTATTTCTTCGGCAGGTGGCTGTGTGGTGGTTTGGCATTTTAGTGCCTGTGTTGCTCTGGTGTAAAAGGCCCGTCGTTACCTGCAGTGCTCTGTGCTACCAGTAATTACCTCAATCAATCTATTCTACAACAGCTTAAGTGCTAACACAGCTTATCTTGTTAGAATCATTTGATTAGCAAAAGCATCGCCCACTATCACACCTCCAGGGTATTTGAGCATTTGAGATGAGGCCATGTCATTTTTGTAGGCTACTTACTCACAGAGAAGTATGTATTACCCAATAGACGATAAATTACCATATTCCTCGAATTTTGGTTCAGGTTCCTAAGTGTTGCAACATGAACTTAGAGAGGCTCTTGAACTGATCAGGCATGTGTTTCTTTTAGAGTGAATCATGGCTTTTATGTCCAGGATAGGGAGTTTTACTTTTGCACCCTAACTGACCTGAAATAAACACCACCCATCTATTCTAAAAAGGTAAAGTGCCATATCTTCTCCCCCCCCCCCCCCCCAGATCTCCAACCATTTTTAAATTAACATCTGTTTTCTGCTTGTAAATCAACGTTGTGGCGCGGGGTGTTGCAACAACATCCTGTCCCTACTAGAGAATTATTTGTTTTGTGGAAAATGCAGTGAAGATTCGGAGCTTGATACATAACTCTCTCCTCACTTCCTGAGAGGTCTCATGGGTCAGATACAGATTGTTGATAACCCTTGTGACAGCGAGACCAAGACGGCGCAGGCGATTTGATACCGTACGGGTGCTCATTGCTGTGACAGGATACGCAAAAAGATACCATTTGCCTAATGGATGATTCTTATCACCACAGTTATTGAAGACATAATGGAGCTTGATCATAATACCCCTGGAGGCGTAAATGTCTCTGTTGCTGTGTTTCAGACAGAAGTGAGAGATTGTCCTCGTCTCTGCATGCCCTTCCTGAGAAATTACAGGTATAAAGACTAAAGAGTCCTCTGGTGCATGTCATGTATTTTCAAAAAGTTTTCCAGGTCTTTGTACATGTTGCCTTTTGACCCTGTGTGACCTCCTATATGCCGTGTGCCATAGAAAGCTTGGTAAATGTGAATCCTTCTCAAATGACTAGGTCACACCTGACTGAGCAAAAGCCACCAAACAGGACTTCCACTTAGCCCAAAGTGTTTGTTTTCCCTTTCCTTCCTTGTTTGTCTTTTACCCAGTTGATGGCTCTCTTCACCGTCAACACTGCAGACACTGAAACCGAGGGGATTTAGAAGATGACAGCCTTGCCGCATCATCCATCACTATCCATCTCCATGACAGTTGCGATAGTGGCTTTGGACTGAAGCGGAGAGGTGAGGATGTGACCCACTTCTCAACACCTGTCAAGACCTTGACAAACAGAAGAATAGTGAGAGACAGATATCTTTAGAACCAAGGAGTGTCTGATGGATGAATGCAGTCAAAAATAGAAATTCTTTCTTATTACAGCTTGATTACACAACCGTAGAGTGTGCAGGCTTAAAATTCCTCCCTTTCGCATCGATCAAATTCTTTTATCCTATGTGAAATTATTCTTTGTAGTACAGTTTCACCAGTCACATTCACTAGCAAATGCCTTTGTCACACTTAAATAGCCTCAGCAAAGCCAGCTAGATTATGGGGCATTGTCAGCTCGGTCCCCCTGACATGCACTTACGTTCACACACTCCATCAATGCATCCACCTCTTGGGAAAAAAAAGTTTGACAAATGAGTAACAACTGAATCGCACTGGAAAAAGAGAAATGTTTTTAGGAAGGCCAGCAAGGACTGAAAGACAAGCGGTAACCCAACTCTCCAGCTCCTCCCTGCCTGTATCCCACCTCTCCCCAAATACACGCTGATCCAAGCCTGTGGCAGCTATTAATACAGTGTGCCGACAGGTCCGATCACAATCAAAGCCTGACCGTTCCTTTCATGCTGTGCGAAGGACAATAGATAGGGGACCATTATGGGATAAAAGATGAGCACTAGTGGGAGAAGAAATGTGGTTGAGATATTAAAGTGAGATTAAACAAAGTGCCGTCTGTGCATCCGTGTGTCTGGTTAATTAAACCGTAACGCTGAATTGAACACCCTCAAAAGATATGCAACAGGCCTAGATTTGACGCTTTAATCAGCTCTACCTGTCAGAGGCAGCAATACATTTCATATGAAAGAGAAAGCGAGTGATTAAAAGCAGACATTAAGAGAGAGGAGAGGGAGATGGTGCTTGGGGAGTACGGGGGAAAGAGGAGGGGAGGAGGAGGAGGCGGAGGAGAGGGTCTATTGTGTAAGATCTTGTGTGTGTTTGTTTGTGTGCGCAGGCTGTAGGCTATAGAGAGAAATGGGTAAAAGGACAATACGTAGCTGACTGCATCATTGTAGTGTGTGTGTGTGTGTGTGAGAGAGAGAGAGAGAGACTAGGGGGGGAGTGTTTGTGTGTCAGATGGTATTCCTGCTCGTCTTGCTCCACCAGTTAAGTTAAATCAGAGGCAGCCACTGGCACACTGAGGTGGTCTCTCTATCTCTCTGTCTGTCCTGCTCTGAAAGCATCAACAGCCTCCTGATTCAGCACCACAGGTAAGAGCTCACATTACCTCACTTTCAACAAGATGTTTCACCAACTTGTAAAAATCTATATTTGGCAGTCAAAGTCTACAAACTCTTTAAATGTAACTTTCTGTAAAAGCCTCTCTCATTGGATAAGCATTTTTTAAGTGCGACTGATTTAAGGCGATTTTAATGTTCCAACACCAGCGCAAAAAGTTGTCGGAGTCTGTAAATATTTATCTCATAAGCCCTTTGTTGAAGATCGCTGACGTTACCTTGGGAACACGCAGATGTAGCGAATGCATAGAACAAAATGACCAATGAGATGTATTCACTGACTTTATCGTTGCCACCTGTTGTTGCTGTTTGTTCAAGTTGTTCATGTGAAAGTCCTGTGTGGGCAGAGCCTTTAAAAAAAACACTGTAGCTGTGCGGTTGAGATGGGAAGAATCCAGAACTGCATTATGCAAACTTTACGCAGAAAGGGATGGAGTCTATGGTAAAGTTTACATTGTCTCATTTCCCCCATAGAGATTTGGATCCACTTCCTGATAAACAGTAGCTCTGCGCTCCTTAAACGTTCTAATTATATAGAAGTTGTGGCTTCAGAGTGAAGGCTGCTCAACATCACGCTCTTTAACCAAGAGCTTTGTATGGGTTTCACTTTATAGGTGCTTAGTTTCTCCCCTGATGTTTCTATGCTGGAGACAAACTCTACTCTTGAGAGCCAGACATTGTTATTTGATATGATTTCAGGTTCTACAAACTATCTCAATGATTTAAAATAATTTGGAGGGAAAAGGATTCATAATGTGTGATGTTATTGTAATCAAAAGTGTCAGTAGCATATTTCATAAAGTACATACAGGAAATGAAGGGACGCTTTACAGGCTGAAGTCTGCGCTGTTTAATTGTGCAAGTCACATGAAAGTGCAGTTTTGTAAACAAAAAAATGCAGACATGGTCTCTGAAGCCAATATTTCCATTAGCCCCTCTCTGGCAAGCAGAAGCCCAGTCTTAATTTAGTTCATGAACACTATCACTCTCACTCACTCTCACACACACACACACACACACACACACACACGCACACACACTCACGCACACACTCACACACACACACATGCACACACACACACACACACACACGCTTTATCAAAATCTTCTGTTCTTTCTCTCTTTGAACACAGATATATAAGATGCACACATTTTAAATGGAGAAGTGTGCTGGTTTGGAACAGTTTATCTATTTTGATTGCAATCAACCAACAAACGTAACATTTAAGAGTTACTTCAGCAGTCAATGAGTTTGCTCTTTATCAAGTTTCCTCCTTCAAAACTTCTTCAGCTGAAGTGAGACCCTGTAAGTTGAGACGGAGGAGGAAATGAGTTGCAGGAGGCTAGGGCCAGGTTTTAAACACCCGTATTATTACTCTACAAGGTGTAATAATGACAAATTAAGCTGCAGTGCCATTTCCAGACTACCATTTGTTAGTGGTAGGGAGCTTGGAAATACATATTTGAAGATACAGGATGCAAAGCCAGAAAGCGCCCGCTGTTGCAAAACGTTCTGTTTGCCGAACCTGAAACGAGGCCTAAACGAGAGGATGATCACGAGGTGGTTGGCTGAGGTGGTGTGCTCCCAGTAAGATGAGCCTCACTTCATAATGGGCCGGTATAAATCATTAACTCCATCAACCGAACATTTTAGTGGCTTTCTCTATGGGCAGCCAGATGGTGGTGCTCATGTCAGAGCAGCCGTGTGCTCAGGCCGAGGACAGCCTCAGATAGCTCTGTTGGTGGGAACCACGATTCTATCCGTATGCGGACTAACTCAACTGTGATTTTAATTTTCCTCAGTTTAGCTTTTTAAGAAATTCCCATGATCCCAGAAAGGGGCTGCATTCACATACCCCTGAAATAGGATTAGAAATGGAATGTTGCCACTACAGCGACATTCAGGAGTCGGCCATTACACTGTGGGGCAAAAATGTCCCCAAACGTCCTCCTAATCCTGATTTTAGCATTCATTGTAAGCAGCTGTGTGTTTGCAAACAGCGCCTCGCAGACCACTGTGTCGTCCGAGAGGATGCAGCTTGCTCGTGGACCTTGTGAAGTGGGTGTTTACCTTCCTGCCTGTGGTCACCCGGGGTTTATGGCTGTCATTCAGTAATGTGCCACCTAACTCCCGAGCTCACTCACTGGACACGCCACACTAAATCACCTGCTTCCGAGTCACCTTCTGTCCGTGCCACTCCACCTTTATTATATGGCTCACGTACATATATAGGCAGCAATAACTTTCAGCCTTGTTTATATTCACTCCCCACACACCTCCCCTCGCCTTGAGCATCTACCTCATGGAAAAATACAGGCGGTTAAAATGCCAGCCAACAATGGTAAAAGGCATATGGTGTCCATTTTCCCCCATATTTCCATTTGTGGTCATCAGAAATCATCTTTCCGTCAAGAGATTTTCTTGATGGTAAGAAAATCTCTTTCAAATCCCTAAACTGTGAAACTGATATGTCTTTTGTCACTTCAGTATAGTTTAAATTTAAAGCCACCCACTATATTAATCATAGTAAGAAGACACATGTACTGTAAATCCAAGCAATGACATCTGTGTCGGGGCTTTACCCTACCTACGACTCCGCAGAGATATCTCATTATTCTGTGGCCCTTGGCACCCACACATCTTCCACACTCAACAATCCCCACATCTGCAACTAATACAGTAGTTGCTTTAGTGCACACATGGGATTTCTTTCCAAAAATTCATCCACTGAATCCCAGTGGAAAATGAGGAGATATTTGACTCGGCGATAAAATAGTTCTAGTGTAAGGGCTGTCTTAAGGCCAACCAGAGGGCAAGAGGAATGCAGATAGGGAAGGTTTTCAAAAGCGCATTCAATTATGTAGTCCACAGTAGCTGTAAGAGCAATGGCAGCAACTGGATTCATGCAAAAGGAAACTTTAAATTTTTTTAGATGTACTATAAGTCATGATATCGCTGTACTGTGTCAGCTGTGAGATGGAAAGAGTAAAATCTTGAGGCTAGAATGCCATCTTGTGGCAAAACGCCTGCTTAGTTTAGTGAAACTGGTAATCGGAGGATTTACATTTTTTATTGTGGCAGCACATTTGTTTTTTTTATCTGTATTATACAAAATAATCAACTTTATATTCTAAAAAACACAACATAGTGGTTTCGTTATCTGCTCACTTTTTGAGCTCTGATAATCAGAGCGCCTTTTCCCCTGGCATCTGTTTGGTTTTAATGCAACCACAAACATGTTGTCATCTTCATGCAATTAGTAACAGAAACTATCTTTGCAGCTATAGTAATAGAATATATGAGGCTTATGCTAATATGATTACATTAGCCCCACTAATGACACTCACTAAGCCATTCTATTAAACATAAAGACTCTCAACAAAGAGGAGAATTTGTTTTATATTCCCATTTCACATTCTGCTGCTACAAATGGAGCAAATACTAGCCCCGAGGCAAATTTTCCGCTGCATGCAGGTTTGATTTTCTCACAGAGCAAAGTTTCCACAGAGCCGAATCCCTGCTGTCCTGTTTGTTTAGGTGTGTGCTGATTAGAAGTTCCCATGCTGGGTACAACGTATCTCAGCACACCAAGGGTTTGAAACGTGACATGTCTTTTACGGTGACTGGAGACTCAGCCCTCTGGTTCTCTCCCCTTTCTGTTCCCTTAGTACCTCAGTGTTTAATGGTGTTGTTATCCCAGCTCGCACTTTGCCATGCAGTCTTCATTAACAAAGGTCGTAACACAAGGCATAATGCTCTCCTTCCGGGTGCTGACAGTCCACCCAGATGGACAGACCATTTGATAAACACCGCACTGTTTTACTGTTGCCGTTCATTAGCCGAGAGACGATTTAAAGGAGAAGGGAGAACGCAGACTGTTTGAATAATGATGTTTCAAAGGGCATTTTTGGGATATTGAGTAACATACAACATCTGTTTTTCATGGCTTCTTATTTTACAGAAATAACATAAAGCGTCAGGATGGCTTTAATGTGCAGGTCTTTAATGAGCTGGTGTAGGGTGAGCGCTTTCATTGGTGCTCGTGTGGATTAGCGTTTATGGGCCATGCCAGCGGTAATGATGGCTCTTCCCGTAGCCTGCCTGTGACATTTTTGTTGTGTTTCTTTTATAGGACTGGCTGAGGCCCTCGCCCAAGGCCTGTATCAGTCACCACAGACGCACCCTGCTGACAGGGCCCCCTGTTTAAAAGTCCCAGAATCTGGCACTAAAAAAGGGAAAATGCGGAACGTAACGACAGGAGCGACAGACGGGATAGCTCTGACGTGCGGCATGTCTGGAAGCCATGAATTCATCTTCACCCTGGTACCCATCGTCTACGGCTGTATCTTTGTCATCGGCATTGTTGGAAACAGTATGGTAGTGGCTGTGATCTACTGCTACATGAAGCTCAAGACGGTGGCGCATATATTTGTGCTCAATCTTGCTGTTTCTGACCTCACCTTCCTCATCACTCTGCCCATGTGGGCCATCTTCACCGCCACAGGCTATCACTGGCCCTTTGGAGGATTCCTGTGCAAGGCCAGTGCATTGCTGGTGATTTTTAACCTCTACACCAGCATCTTCTTCCTCACAGCACTCAGCATTGACCGTTATCTTGCCATCGTCCACCCAATGCGATCACGCAGGTTACGCACTGTGCTGTACGCACGTATCACCTGCGTGGTGATCTGGCTTTTTGCCTTTGTGCTTAGTGTGCCCTCAGCAATGAGCAGGGATGTCCACAACATCAAAAACTCCACTACAGTGTTGTGTGGCACTCTTCACCCGACCATTGAAAATCCCATAATTACGAAAGAGTTCCTGCTGGCCATCAGCCTGATGAAAAGCCTGCTCGGCTTCCTGGTGCCCTTTGTCATCATCATCACCTGTTACTGCCTCATTGGACGTGCACTGGTGGGGGCGAGGCACATCCAGAAAAGCTCCCGTTCACGGGATGACGAGGTGCTGCGCATGCTTGCAGCAGCTGTCCTGGCCTTCTTCCTGTGCTGGGTGCCCCATCAGGTGTTCCACTTGATGGATATGCTCACCCAGCCGTCACTCGAAAAGAACTGTGCCATCAAAGAAATCATTGACACCGCCATGCCCTTCACTATCTGTATTGCCTACTTCAACAGCTGCGTTAACCCTCTTGTGTACGGCTTTGTTGGGAATAACTTTCGCAAAAACTTGCTGCGACTGTTGCGCTGCTCTCCAGATGGAGTTAGAGTGTCTCACCCGAGCATCAGCTCCAGGATGAGTGCCCTCTCTTTTCGTGCCTCTGAGGCACTGAGCCTCACAGCCAAAAGCAAGGCCTCTTCTGACGTGAAGTGACAAAGAAGAAAAAGAGTCCAAGTTTACTCTCCCCGCTCTTTGGGTCTGTGGTTAAGGGACTGGGGATGGAGACATTCCATGCTTTTAAAACCCCAACTGTATTGCAAAGCACTGAAACACGCAGAATGGTTGAAACGTTGTATTCATGTCCCTCTGTAAGTAAGTCCAAAATAAATCCACCTTGTACAATGCTACTCAAAAACTATTACATGTCACACGGCACTCATACTTGTAACATGCATGCGGGCAAATGTTTCTTCTCTTTTAAATTAAAGTCAGTGTCACTGACGTCTGTGTTTTTAAATAATCCAGGAATTTACTATATCAATGCTACAAAAGACTATATACGTACATATCACTTATCCCATTATTTACATGAGATATGCATATGCTGCAGGATTTTGTCGCTTTGGTGCCTTAAGGACACAGTGCAGTAATATATTGTCCTGTGATAACCATTCTGTGTGCTCAGTAGGTCTTTCACCAGTCGGAACAGTGATCAAGTGCTCAGCAAAGATGCCAAAGCTAAAAACAAAAAAAAATAAAAATCATGATCGACACATGCATGCTCTGCCAGCAGCTGTACGCATGGAACAATTGGTAAAGTGTAGCAAAAATGTGATGTATGTTTATATCAGTTCGTAACATATTTGACTATGATAACTATAGTGCCTGTATATGCTGTTTGTGGTTCAGTGTTTGCATAATAACATTGAAATGATGAAATGTTACCTAGTCTGGGAGTAACATGCTGTATAAATAAGAGTGCTACACCAACACTCTGGGGTGATCATTGTCAATATCTCTGGTTGTTTTCTTTGTGATATTTAAACATGTTGATAGATTTTGTTTTTCCTACTCTGTAAGTGTACAGGTTGTGAATATGTGAAAATATGAATAAAATTTAAAAATACACAGTGCTAAGTGGATTTTTTTATCACCACATAATAGAGCTGTCACAATAACTGATTTTCACTACATGATTATCACGACCAAAATAATTCACAATGTTGATACTATTACAAAAGTTGTTTTTAATTATTATTTAAAATAGTATTTAAATTCATCTTTAACTGTTTAATGTGCATTTTGTCTCTTTTGGCAAATTAATTAATAGTCTTTGACTGTAACTGTATATATTCAATTATTTAAGAGGAGCTGGATTATATACACTATATCAAAATATGTGTATTATTAACATGATTTTATTTTTAAATATCACGGTTACAGTCCATGCTGGTATGACAGACCTCACAGTGAATGAGTCCAACTATCCGGATTAGTAATAAAAATATGTCATTAGTTACCAAAACATCCAGAAATAACAGTTAATTATTAAGAATGTAAATCAACTGATCTTGGCTCAAAACTTGCTCAAGCACCTCCAGCATCTATTAATCATTGACCAAACATCAGATAGGCCCCTGTTCCTCCACATAGCACCCTAGAAATAAATAGCTTTTTAGAAGGATGTGTCACAAACTGGGCCGAACGGCCATGACAAAAAAGGGAGATGCACTCAACGAAGCAGTTTAACAAATTATTTATTAATTTCAGCAGTGTAAGTTAGTGTGTGTGCGTGGGAAGTGTACATGCAGTGTTGTAATAGTGTAGAAACAAACCATAACCGCAACCAAAACCAAAATGGGTGTCTCAGGAAGGAGAGAGAGACCAACTGAGAATCCAGAGGGTTTTGATACTGGCACACAGGACCCTCTGCCTGAAGACCCTCTGCCACACCCACCTCCACACCTGCAAGGAAAGCAGACAAACAACCAGGCAACAGGCAGACAGGGCAGAGAGGGTCGTCACATGTGTGACACGCTGCTCTATCACAGATGGGGATTGGTGGATGGGCGGCAGGTCAGGGTTATAAATGCTGTCAAGCGGTGTGTCCAGCCTCACTGACAGCATGAAGGTCCTCCTGCTTCTCGGATTGGTGGCGTTTGCCCTGGCTGACATCACTCGCTTCGAGGGGTAAATCCTTAGTCTCTGTTGAAGAAAAAAATACATTATATTTTACGAGTTATGTGAGACACTATTGCTATAAAAAAATGTATGAATTGCAGTGCTAATCATGACTTCTCATGAAGCGAGAATGATGAAATGCTGTACAATGACTCTTGACCTGTCTGCATGTATTATAGGGTGATATTAGCTAATGTTAACTAGTGGACCAAGAGAGTACTGTAAGCTTTAGGTCACAATATGGTTCAATGTAATTATGCCATCAATTGTCAATATGTCAATTTTATTAATAAGTGTGGCAATTTGTTAGTGTTATTATTAAAGCATGAGATTTTCTAATTTATTAAACAGCAGCATTGTACAAACCAGTAACCCTTCAACTTCAACTACAGGCCACCAAAACCATTGGACCACTTTAGCTTGATGCACATGCAATTCAATGTATATACACACTGTTTATTGCCATTATTTGAAAAGTGGAATCGAACATGTATATAAGAAATAATAGTTATAAACCTTTGGTATCTGCCCTTGAATAACCCACTATTCTATCACAAAACCTTTAATTTCTTGTGAAAGGCCAGCACACAAGCTAGAGTAGACTAGAGCTAGAGTATTATTTGACTGTGGTCAAGAGACGGCCCAGTAATTTAAACCATAAAACTGTGGCTATTGTACTGTATTTGTGAACAATCTTTTTGTTTTTTTCTAGAGAGAAAGTCTTCCGTCTGAAGCCTGTGCTTGATGAGCATGTGACTCTCATTAAGCAACTGGCTAAGAGCATCGAGGTAACTTACTTTATAATCCTATCTGTACTCACTACGGGGATTTAATTTCTTTGCTAATGATGGAAGAGGCTGGACAGGACCTACTTTTTTGGTCAATTCACTGAAAACCCGTTCAAATATGCAAATCGTATCTACCTTCTTTTTTTAAATGCTTGTATCGAATTACTGTCTATGTTGCTGGATTTTTGGCGTGTCATATTCACTTCACAATAAGAATGTCTTTCAGCTCGTCACAGTTTGTCAAAATGAGAGGCTTGAATTTGGATTTCACGTCTGAATATCTCTTCATGCGCAAGTGTTTGACTTTGGCGCCATCTGCAGGTCGACTTCTGGAGGCCCGAGAGCGCTGAGCTGGTGACCATCGACATTGACGTGGACATCCGTGTGCCTGCCATGTACCTGGATATGGTGTACACCATCCTGCAGCAGAATGACATGGCGCATGAGTAGGTCACGAGACAAAGATGCAAAAATCTGATTTCCAATTTTTTTTTTTTACATGTGATGTTTTAACACTTAATGAATTCCTCTTCAGGGTCCTGATTGAGGATTTGCAGTCTACTGTCGATGCCCAGGCTGACAACAAGCCTTCTCCCAGAGCCCACAGCTACACCAAGTACAACAACTGGGACAAAGTAAGAGGAAAAAAGATCATCAGTCGCAATCTCTCCCCTGACTGAACTGTTATTTCCTGTTCTTATTTTCCACTCCTTTAATTTCAGGTCCAGTCCTGGATTAACTCTGTTTCCTCCTCCAATTATGATCTGATCAGCAAGCAGGTGATTGGAAACACCTATGAGGGACGCCCCATGACTGTCCTGAAGGTATTACAAGACTTATCTGCTGTATCAGTCCCTCGTGTTGAAAAGTTCCAGATAAGTGTATATACCACCGATTTACATCTAAATGTTTTATGATTACTTTTAACAACCACAGCTCGGTAAGAAGTCCAGCTCCACCAAACCCGCTATCTTCATGGATTGTGGTATCCACGCGAGGGAGTGGATCTCTCCTGCTTTCTGCCAGTGGTTTGTCAAAGAGGTAATGAAGACACCTGGATAGGCATGGAAAGCATTTATACAAAGACTTCCCCTGTTAACGGCACAGATTTATTTCCCAATCTTCCTCAGGCTCTGTCCACCTATGGCAGTGATTCTCAGATGACCAGCCTGCTCAACCAGATGGATGTCTTTGTTCTGCCCGTCTTTAACATTGATGGCTACGACTACACCCACAAGAGCGTAAGTTCCATCTTCGAATCTGATAGAGACCGTGCTGTCTTGTTTATCTTAAAGAGTTCATTGATTTGTTAAATGCATGTCTCACGTGTTTATTTTGTCCACTGGGGGACTTTAGAGCAGGATGTGGAGGAAGACTCGCTCCAGGAAATCTGGATCCAACTGCGTTGGTGCCGATCCCAACAGGAACTTCAACGCTGGCTGGTGCAGTAAGTGCAACATATACATGTTTACTGTATGTCTTAAAAGGGTACTCAAGCTATTTTATATTGCACTTCCGTAAAGAAGGGGTATATATGTGAAATTAGATTTTTTTTGAATGACAAAAGTCTTTGCAGCAGAGGCCGAGATATTTTGACTTTTAGTTTTCATTTAAGACACACCCCAATAACCTTGAATGCAACATTTCCCATAATGCAAATTGGTACCATAATTTGTTGAAAATATCCACATCTTTCAAATCCAAATTGCTTAACGTAAGGCTACAAAGCAATTCAAAGATGTGTTGTAAATGTGTGGTCTCATCCTGAAAGATGTCACCTTATGACATCACTATGACATCCTCAGGATCATTTTCCCAAACTCCCCCCTGAGCCGTATAAGACCTTCTACAATAGTTTTCACAGGCTGCATAGTACTCCTCGAGTAAATCGAATGACTTTAAGCCCGGTCACGATGCATTTGAAGAAGTAAAAAAGAAATCAAATTTTCATTACAGCCACTGGGGCCTCCAGCAACCCCTGCAGCGACACCTACTGCGGGTACAAACCTGAGTCTGAGATCGAGGTCAAGAACGTTGCCGACTTCATCCGCAGGAACAAGTCCGTCTTCAAGGCCTACCTCACCATCCACTCATACTCCCAGCTGCTGCTCTTCCCCTATTCCTACACCTTCCAGCTGGCTGCGGACCACAGTGAGCTGGTAAGTCATCACTATCTGCCATGAATAGCATATTGGACATACCGCTGAATAAGCACAGAGATCTTATTGACGAACATGCTTGGTTAGTCACAATGACTATTTAATTATTCATCATGACAGTGTCACATGCATCGCTATAGTGTGGCAGCCTTGTGTATACAGCCTTGCTGGAAACATATGCATCAGACATAGGTGTGTTGAATTTAGGATCAATCTGGCTCTTCATAATGATTATCATACAAGTATCAAAGGTAAAAGAAGTGTCAGTATATGGTTTATTATATTGACAGCACATTTAGAATAAAAGTTCAAGTAAGAATTCAGCAAAGTCTTATCTAAAGGCCACACTTGGCTGCTTCAAATCATCTACTCCCTCACTCTCATGGCTCTTTTACCTCTCACTAGGGTGTACAGTTAACACTCACACCCCTGCTCCAGCTCTCACACTAACTGAGGCTCGTAATTTAAGCTCTCTTCTGACACATTATAGAACAAAAGAACTCCGGGGATCTGTCATAACTCATCTGTTCTGGTAGAAATATAATTTCCTGCTTGTGCATTAGTCTGGGGATTTCATTTCCTGTTGGAACTCACTTAAGCTTTTTACTATTTTCTGTAATATCAGCAAAAAAATGTTGTCCAAACAAATGTAACAGTGGGTGGATGCTGCACGGAAAACAACATGTATTTGCTTTTCTTACAACAAGCTGGATTTTTAAAGTTGTAGTTTTGTTCCTTTATTAGACACTCTTTTCACTGTGAAACCAGACTATTTAACTTTCTAAAGAATTAGCGGCACAATTATACCTTAATTCAAGAGTTAAAGAATATAAACAAAGTGTTGCCCATTTTTATTAAAGTCAGGTGTTTTGCTGATACAACCTTACTTGGTCTGGTGTGACCAGAAGCCTATGGTGGCTAACGTTAGCTAACTTTAGAGAGAGAGATTTTCTATGTTGTCTGATTGTCTATTCAATAAGCATATGAATATATCTGTACTTTGTAAAAAACGTCTGATTGGTCCTTTTAACACTTCTGACCTTTGTTTCTTCTCTACATCGTAGCTGAAGGTTGCTGAGGGAGCCTCTGCTGCCCTGCGTAGTCTGTATGGTACTCGCTACACTAGTGGACCTGGTGCTACAACCATCTGTAAGTACAGCAAATACTGCAGCTGCATTGGTCTCCGTGGGGAAATAGTGTATTAGAGGGACCTTGATATTCTATTTCACGCCTATAATGATATGCATTATGATGTGTTTGCGATGCACAAACCTCTTTTTGAGAGATATGGCCTCAGAGGCGACAAAAGTGTATTGCCTATTATGAGAGAAAGCTATTTCTAGTACACAGAGGATTCTTTGGGCCCCTGAAAGCAGTATTTGTATAACAACACATCCAGGATGTTCCAGGTCATCAGCGTATCCCGCTCTGAATATCCCCCCCTCTCCTTATCTGCCTTCAGACCCCGCAGCTGGAGGCTCTGATGACTGGGCCTACGACCTGGGAGTGAAGTATTCCTACACCTTCGAGTTGCGTGACACTGGTCGTTATGGCTTCCTGCTGCCCGAGTCTCAGATCAAGCCCACATGCGAGGAGACCATGCTGGCCGTCAAGTACATCGCCGCCTACGTGCAGAAGAACCTCTATTAAAGAATGAGACTGCCAGGACCCCTGCCAACTCGGCTCCTCTGTACCAGCCCCCAGCCCCTCCAACCTCTCAGCCATCTCTAGCCTGTATCCATGGATACGGGCACCACCCGCCATGTTTCCTTGCTGTGCTTGACAGAATGTCAAGATGAGTGCAAACAATAAAATCAATGATCCATCCCCACATGCTGAATCATTTTTTTATGTGCATATGATGATAATAAAGCGTCTGATGGACTGAACCTTTGCCATTTGTATGAAAATATACAACAAACAAAGTGTGTGTATGGTGAATAAAATAATGCTTACACTTCACAGCCCATCGCTAATGGGTCAGGAAACTTGTGTGCACAGAAATTATGGAATGATATGCTTTAAAAAAAAGTCCTTCATGGCCCAAGAAAACATAGTGAGACATTTAACTTTAACAATGAAGACTCTACTGTATCAGACCCTTCGAACCCTGGTGATCCTCTTTGCTCTTCTGGCACTATTCCAGTGGTGGAGGACGGGAGGATGGGAGGGTGGGGGTATCAGTCAAGGATTTTAGTCCAGCAGCACAGCACGTGACACCCACAGAGTAACTCCTTGGCAGCGTCTCCACTGTGCCAAGCATTTGGAGAAAATAAAGGAGCCAAAGATCAGCAGGGAGTTTAACTGCACTGGCACACATTTCTGGAGCAGAAGGTGAAAATTCAGCTGCTTTTGTAACATTACGACAAATGCAAATTTATAAACTGAAGGTTTCAAATCGAATCAAGTTTTGATTGTCACACACAATCGTACACAGCACAATGTAGTAACATTTAGTTTCTGTATTTAACCCATCCAAGCATTAGGAGCAGTCGGCAGCTACTATACAGCTCCCATTGCAGCAGTTGGGGGGGTTCGGTGCCTTACTCAAGGGCACTTCGGAAGTACCCAGGAGGCAATCTGGTATCTCTCAAGCTTCCAGTGCACCCTCCTTAAGCCTATCTGGTCTGTGCGGGGACTTAAACCGGCGACCCTCCAGCTCCCAAGCTAACTCCCCACGGACTGAGCTACTGTCGCCTCCGTATCATATTACTGGTAGGGATTTATTTTTTCCTGGGCTAGCTGTGTTCATAATTCCACTAGTGCAGTTAAGGGAATATACCATGATATGCATGCACTCACTAATATGTTTTCTTTTCTTTAAACATGAAAAAATAAAAAGTGTATTATCCCCCTACCCCTGGTATAAGAGCCACGCCCCAAAACACCTTTTAATGTGAGGATTAACTCAAGAGATTTACTGAGACAACTAAAAATAATCCACTGTTGTGTAACACAGTTCAGGAGGCCCAGATACCTCCACAACTGCTTCTGTTTGTCTTATTTCTGTCATGATATATATATATATATATTGTCTTTATTCCACAAGAGGGCGACACAATCCAAACTGTAGCCTAAAATATGGAACATGTTGTTCCTGATCTCCGCACCTCATTACAGCATCATCACCATCTCCACTTTATCATCAAGAGCAAAAATAACACCAGCCAAGGGAGCCACGTGAAAGGTCAAGGCTGCAGACGGATGTCTTGTGAATGTGAAATTATTTAAAGGTCAAGATTACTTGACTAGATGAGCTGTAAAGTTTTAACTTAATAAAACAACTACAAAAAGAATATAAAGTCTGTTCAAAATCACTAAATGATACATGTGTCTCTACATTCAGGCTGAATATTGTGTAAACGTGTGAACAGTTGACCTCCTGACTGCCGGAGGGGGTTGTGGAGGCTCGTGTGGGGAACAGGTGGGTGTGTGCCGGACCGTCGCATGACGCTGTGATTGGCTACTGTCACACTGGTATAAATCCACCTCTGTGGATCTGGTCAGTCCTTTTTCCTCCACGCTGAGCTGCCGCTTCTTCGGGTCCAGGCTTCAAAAAGTAGCTTCGACTTCTTCAGTTATGGCTGGTATGTAAACATCTTAACATTTCCAAAAAAAAAAAAAAAAACTGCGATGTTGCGTTTTTTTCGCTTCCAACGTGGGGGCCAGACCTTTAAGCTAAAACGTGTTTCGTGTGAAGTTTAAAAGGCTCGCGACCCGTTGGTTGCTGGCGTTCAACATCGCTGTGTCGCTGTTGTGGAAATGGCAGCCTGTCGTTAAAAGTTTCTCGCCTGTAGTTTGGTTTAAATGTTTGTAAATCCCCTCCGAAGTTAGCGGAGTTAAATCCTAATGCGTAAATGTAGCGTTTGCTTAATCTGTGTGTCGCCACCTGTGTCTTGCTGTCCAATCAGTTCGCAGTTCGCGTGACGCTGTCGGCCATATCTGAAACATGTTGCCATATATGACATTTAAGCCACAGTGTCGCCAGTTAGGATGTGCTGTGGGCCCCACTCCATTTGTCACGTTGAATATATTCACTTTATTACTAGACATCCTTATCAGATGATCCGTTAACTCGGATTAAAGCCTCCGTTATCTTCTGGGGAAAGCTTTTAATGAATGACATAATGGTCCTAAGCTTTGTAAAGCCTGTGCTGCTGTATGTCACGGTTCTCCATTACCCATATCTTACTGGGGGAAGTGGATGTGTAGCCTACAGCCTGTACTGTACATCCCCTAACCCTAGGCTGTGGTTCAACTCCATGATGTGTTTCATGTTAGGCTTCATGCATAAACAATACAGAGCTTGTTGTGCCAGTTGAAAAGGAGGGGGTGTTGCTGTCTTTGAGTGTTATTGGTTGGAGAGTACTGAAAGGTTGCTTGTACAATCCAGGTGGGCTCCGTGTTGGCCCACATGCTACAGTCACACAACCTTCCCAGCTGCCATGTGCATTTCATCATTGCAATTTATGTGTCCTTTCACAGGCGGCTCATTGTTCTGAGGCTTGCTTTGGCAGCTAGGTGACAGATTTTCCTCCCTGCCGTCAGAGGTGGTGGCACAGAGTAGGCACTACTCTGCAAATAAAATTCAACTAAATGAGATTTAATCTGTTACTGGAGACTACTTTTCTTCTTTCTTTTTTTCGTAGGCAAGGTCATAGAGTTTGTGGAAACTCTGCTTGTTTTTGAGTATTTGAAATGACTGTTTATACTTTTGGATTGATGTTTAATGTTTCACCTATTGCAGTTACGCTTTTTATTTTTGTTGCTTGGTGTATCTTTTCTGTTCCTGCTGGCCAAACATGAAAGATGTGACTTCATGTCAAGATATTTGCAGTTAAGCCGCAGAAAAACATTCAACTATTTGACGCATCAATGGTATTTTTGAACAATTTTTAACATCACGGATGATCTTTGCTATTAAATGTTCGTTCTTCTACAGACCAGGCTTTTGTGACGTTGGCTACCAATGACAGCTATGGTCGGGGAGCCATGGTTTTGGGCAAGTCCCTGCGAAACCACAACACAACCAAGAAGCTGGTGGCTCTCATTGGTCCACAAATGTCAGAGCCTTGCCGGTAAGAAACCATCCCTCCGACTACTGGTACAACATTTCGGAATCGCAGGAGGAATGTTTTCCGCCTGGATCGTTGGTGACTCATCCTATAGTATTGTGAATCATTAGGTCCGTGCTGAAGGGAATCTTCGACGAGGTGAGGCTGGTGGATGTCTTGGACAGCGGCGACGCGGCGCACCTGGCACTGATGAAGAGGCCAGACCTGGGCGTCACCTTCACCAAACTCCACTGCTGGACTCTGACGCATTACTCCAAATGTGTCTTCATGGACGCAGACACTCTGGTGAGACTAACTGAGCCTTTTTCTAAGGCAAGATGTTGTACTGCAACTATCTATCTGCTGTCTATTGTTGTGTTTGTCTGCCTCCTAGGTGCTATCAAATATAGATGACTTGTTTGACCGAGAAGAACTGTCTGCTGCTCCCGACCCCGGCTGGCCTGACTGTTTCAACTCCGGCGTGTTTGTTTTTCGGCCTTCTGAGGAGACTCATGGCAAACTGCTCCAGTATTGTACAGAACACGGCAGCTTTGATGGTATGTGGAGAACATATTCTGATGTTTTAGTTTTGTGCTGAAATGTTTTTTATTTTATGTTGTAGAGGGATTTCAGACTGTTTGTTGAAAACCAGTAGTTTGATGATGTGACCTTTGGCGTGGTAATAGTTTATTCCATAGTTGCATCCCTACTTTACTTAGAGGAATAGTTCCACATTCTTGGAAATACTTTTTCTTACTGACCTCCAGTACTCTGGATGAGAAGATCAATGCTGGCACCAGAATATAACCCCCAATTACAACAAAACTTGTTTTTACATGACAACTCAAGGAATGAATGCATTTCCCAAAATATTTCCAAACTATTCTATTCACTTCACATAGTTGGTTATTATCAAACACATATTGGATAAAATGTATTTGTCATGTACAAGTTTCTCTCCAAATAGACATGTCATTGCCAAATACATTACAAGAAGTGATTTAGTACGCATGTACAGAATTGCAGGCATTTCTAGTTTACCACCACTGAGTTTTGAAGTCGGCAAACTTGTTTTTCAGTCAAACGCACACAAACATGAATGCTTTGCTCAACATTGAGTTCTTGGTAACATGTTGTTAAACTGACCCTGTTTATCTTTTGCTCTGAGTGAGGCCTTTATCGAGCCCGGTGCCCGGACACAAGGCCCTCCTGTAACAGGCTCTCTAGCTCTGCTGAGTTATTCTCTGGGGAGGGGTGAAAGTTAAATTTGAGAGGTCGTGTTTTGCACAGAGCACTGGTTGGCATTCAGCAGCTCTTCTCAGTGAGGCCGACTGTAGCTGGATTGTGGTCGTTGTTTTGGCTCCGTATCAGGTTTAAAAGAACATTAGTCAACGCTTGTAGGGGGCTGTGGTTCTCATATACTGCAGCTTTACCACCTTCGCTTTCCACAAAATGTTACAGCACTTTTTGTACATTACATGAAACGATTAGAGTCCCTTTTTTTTTCTTTTTTAAATTTAACGGCAAACATTTTACCATGACAGAACATTCATTTAAAACTTTATTGCCATCTTTCTTAAACACTTTGATGTATACAATTTGTATTTAAAGTATACAAAAGTCTTGCAGGTATTAAGAGGTTCCTACTTTGCCTTATCTTTTACAGTGTCCTGCTTTAGTGAATGATTTTAACTGCAGAAAGATGCAAAAGAAAGTTGTGAGAATCTTCTTCCATCTTGAGACTAGAACATTGTCGTGTCAAGATTATGAAGATGGATCTCAATAAGCACATAATGTGAAGAAACTATTTGTAATGAAGAGCCTAAAATTGTTTGTCAGGATCGGTACTGAAAAATGAACTTGGGCATGCTCTCTGCTGGATAAACTGTGTAATTGCAACATGTTTTCAGCATTAACTCAAATGCAGCTTTGGCTTTTCTCTACTGTCATTTCTTACTAATCAGCCAACGCTGAAGGCAATACTGTAACTGGAAACGAATTGACTACTATGAGCTAAAAATTATTTTGTCAAAACCCAGAGCTTTCCACTACATATGACAGTCTTGATTACGTTGCCGAAGTTTCATACATGGGATGCATGATCGTGAGACCATGAAAACTGAGGTGTTGACTGCAAGATGTGGTCAAAAGTCTCTGAAAGAGCTCGTAACTGACCTGCCTGTATATCAGTCGGGCTCTTATCTAATTCATTGTTTCCTCAGGCTGCTCAAAATGCCACTAAACAAAGGAAACAGTCGTGGAATAAACAGGATGCAACGTACAGTAGGGCTGGGAAGAGCCGGAGCGTGTCCTTGTTAGTAGCAGGGAACCTTTTTAACATTAAATGGTCACGCTGTTCTACTTTGTGATGCTGTGAAAGAGATTCCATCTGTGAGAAAAGCAAACTAATTGGTGCCAGTGCTTTCAAGTGCCGACTCATTTTGGCCGAGTTTGTTGACAAGAATTGTTCCACGACGCGCACGGACAAGACATTGTTGTGTTCATTTTTCCAGGAAAGATGCCTCTGTCTATGAAAACTCGTGTCATTAAGATTTTTCTATCTAATATTTCAATGGGATGCCAGTGTCGCGTAAAGCCGTCTTATTTATAGCCATGGATGGTCTTTTCATGTGCACTGAGGCATGAGTTGAAGTTGCCTTGACCTTTTCAGCATTTCAGTTCCCTTCTAAGGAGAACATGATGTACACATGCAGCTCTGTCTCTCTGCAGTTCATGGATGATATTAAAACATTGCTGAGGTAAGGCAAAAAGGAAAATGATTTCAGCGGTTGGACCCTGAGGCTATATCTCTGAATCTGTGGTGCCAATGAATTCCGCTGCCAAAACAAACTGGCAGATATAAAAGCACATTCCTGCTGAGCTCTGCTCATCCCCTCAAAATGAAGACACTCGGCCCCATGTTAAGTCTGAAATGCCCAGTAGAGGTTTTGTGGGTTCAGACAAACGGCATCTGTGTTATTTTAAACTGCAGCAGTCTGTGGTTTCACAGACTGTACAGTCCTGTGCTACATGTGTAACTTCTATTACAGGCCAACATCTCATCGTGTGCAGGTTCAGTCCGATGACTTACTGTATGGCGACTAGGTGACGCGGTCCAGCATGAATATTCAATGAGCTTGTCATGTTTTAGCTTGGCTTTGAAATGCTGTGTTCTGGCTGGTCGTTTGTCGCAATGTAACGGAGGAGATGTTCACTGAAAAGGCTTTTTTCATTCGACTCTATTCAGATCTGGTTGTGTAGTTAAAGTGTAACCTACTTAACGCCAATTGTATCTCTGGACCCCAAACTGAGTTTTGTGCTTATGTACAGTGCATCCGGAAAGTATTCCCAGCGCTTCACTTTTTCCACATTTTGTTATGTTACAGCCTTATTCCAAAATGGATTAAATTCATTATTTTCCTCAACATTCTATACACATCAACCCATAATGACAAAGTGAAAACTGTTTTTTGCAAATTTTTGCAAATCTATTAAAAATAAAGAACGAAAACATAACATGTACATAAGTATTCACAGCCTTTGCTCAATACTTTGTTGAAGCACCTTTGGCAGCAATTACAGCCTCAAGTCTTCTTGGGTATGATTCCACAAGCTTGGCACACCTATTTCTGGGCAGTTTCTCTCATTCTTCTTTGCAGAACCTCAAGTTCCATCAGGTTGGATGGGGAGCGTCGGTGCACAGCCATTTTCAGATCTCTCCAGAGATGTTCAATCGGGTTCAAGTCAGGGCTCTGGCTGGGCCACTCGAGGACATTCAGAGTTGTCCACTCCTTTGTTATCTTGGCTGTGTGCTTCGGGTCGTTGTCCTGTTGGAAGATGAACCGTCGCCCCAGTCTGAGGTCCAGAGCGCTCTGGAGCATGTTTTCATCGAGGATGTCTCTGTACATTGCTGGATTCATCTTTCCCTCAATCCTGACTAGTCTCCCAGTTCCTCCCGCTGAAAAACATCCCCACAGCATGATGCTGCCACCACCATGCTTCACTGTAGGGATGGTATTGGCCAGGTGATGAGCAGTGCCTGGTTTCCTCCAGACATGACGCTTGGCATTCAGGCCAAAGAGTTCAATCTTTGTTTCATCAGACCAGAGAATTTTGTTTCTCATGGTCAGAGTCCTTCAGGTGCCTTTTTGCAAACTCCAGGCGGGCTGTCATGTGCTTTTACTGAGGAGTGGCTTCCGTCTGGCCACTCTACCAAACAGGCCTGATTTGTGGAGTGCTGCAGAGATGGTTGTCCTTCTGGAAGGTTCTCCTCTCTTCATAGAACACTGGAGCTCTGTCAGAGTGACCATCGGGTTCCTGGTCACCTCCCTGACTAAGGCCCTTCTCCCCCGATCGCTCAGTCTGGCTGGGCGGCCAACTCTAGGAAGAGTCCTGGTGGTTCCAAACTTCTTCCATTTCCGGATGATGGAGGCCACTGTGCTCATTGGGACTTTCAATGCTGCAGAAATTTTTCTGTACCCTTTGCCAGATCTGTGCCTCGATACAATTCTGTCTCGGAGATCTACAGATAATTCCTTGGACTTCATGGCTTGGTTTATGCTCCGATATGCACTGTCAGCTGTGGTACCTTTTATATAGACGGGTGTGTGTGTCTTTCTAAATCATGTCCAATCAACTGAATTTAGCACAAGTGGACTCCAATCAAGTTGTAGAAACATCTCAAGGATGATCAGTGGAAACAGGATGCACCTGAGCTAAATTGAGTGTCATGGCAAAGGCTGTGAATACTTATGTACAAGTTATGTTTTTGTTCTTTCTTTCTAATAGATTTGCAAAGAACAGTTTTCACTTTGTCATTATGGGTTGATGTGTATAGAATGTTGAGGAAAATAATGAATTTAATCCATTTTGGAATAAGGCTGTAACATAACAAAATGTGGAAAAAGTGAAGCGCTGTGAATACTTTCTGGATGCACTGTAAGCCACCGCCGTGACAAGCGCTTCCCAAGTCCTAAATTAGGCAAATTGAGCGAGGGCAAGTGGCTGTCCAGCCCTCCAGTTGGGCCCCGAGGACCTGAGGCAACTCGAGTGCAAACTTTTAAAATCAGTGTTAAGTCAGAGGTCAATGTTGATTTACTTGAACAGCAGAGGGGCAAAACCTTTTTAATACTTGTGTCTAGTTCTATTATTTACAATAGGGCAGATAAGAAGTTTGAAGGAAGGAAAGCCATCCCTGCAATCTGAATGTGTGGCAACATTTCTCTAACTGCTTGTGTCAGCAGACTAATGTTGACCAAAGACTAATTATTGTGGCTGTCACAGGTGTGCACATCATTTGACTGAACTCTGTCTGCTTTTCCTCTTTCAAAGAAGCCATCTAGTCATGCGTTAAGCATTTTGTCAGCTGCTTTTCGTAACCAAGTTGGCTGTTATGACATGTACCAGTTTCGCACAGCATGGTCACACAAATACAATACGCAGTCTCTCTTGTTACCTGAAGTTTTCTCATCCCTGAAAATGCCATTTAAAATTAATTCAAAGCGTAGTACTTAGGACCCACATCTGATATGACCAATACATTTTTGAATAGCAAGTTAAAACTCGTGTGTGTGTGTGATATGGATCAGCACTGTACTACCGTCTTGCATAACTTAATGAGAAAAAATGGGAAAGCCACTGTGTGTATCTTGTTGTTGTTGTTGTTGTTGTTGTTATCCACTCTAACTGCTTTCTCAGAGTTGAACCACATCTGAAACTACAGATTATTCCTGATGAGTACAGTGTTTATATTTTTTTGCCCTCTCTGTTGCAGGAGGAGACCAAGGTGTTTTGAATGGCTTTTTCAGTGACTGGGCAACAGCTGATATATCAAAACACCTCCCATTCATCTACAACCTCAGCAGCGTAGCCATCTACACTTACCTTCCAGCATTCAAGCAGTAAGTGTCGGTGTACTGAGGTCATGTTTCTAAAAACATTCACACAGTAGTTGGCGTCTCTACTGTTTAAGCTACTGCAGTGTATATACGGCCACAAAGTTGTTTTGTTTTTTATATTAATTATACTATAGCAGAGACGGTTGGTGTGACTAAAGTCTTCCGTATCGGATGGGAAGCAGATATGTTGGCAGACACACTATCACATGAGCATGTAGTCCCAACGTGACGACGTCGGGTTACGAGCGAGATGAGCAGTTAAGATTTCAGCGGCTCTGCTGGAGTATCTCCCAGCAGGCCTCAGCGCTGTGTTGGATATCCACCCTGAGCTCCCAACAGCTGAAACCCAAGCCGAAAATAGAGTAGTTTATTTAAAGACCTTTATGTTCGCCTCTGGGACTGGTCATTGTACGCTCGGTCTTAAGCTCCTCGCTGCCCCTCTGCCTCACAACTTCAGTCCTCCATGGAAACAAACCTCATCTACAAGCTCTTAGGTTTGGCATTTCCTGGCATCCAAATCAGGATATCAAGGGTGATAAACATGTACCTTCTTGTTGTTTGTAAGCAATACTATTGCTTAAGAGGTCTGGCAAGCACCACAAAACCCAGGGCCAGATTCGGGTTTATTTGTTACATGTGCAGTTTGCCAATACTGAAAAGAAATCCATATCTGTAGGATTGGCAAAGGAGGCGCTATATATTATAATGTAGTCTAATATAAGCAGGTTAATGCCACTACAGCACCATAATGTGCTATGTTTAATCTTATTTAAAATTTACGGTTTGATCTTGCAATATGAATGGGGACAGCAGACTTTTCTAAAACTCCATATAATTGTTTTCATATACATTTCAAAACCATGGCCGACGTATTTCTGCTTGCTGACAACATGTAGGACACTTTCCGCATACTGCAATGTTTCAGTATAACTAACTACACAATACAGCTTTGTCGGGCACATTTTCCTGTTCCTGTACACAAAAGCTTGTGTATAAATGAGTGAGTGGATGAAGGGCGTAGTTGCTACAAGAAAAATGCTGTTTTACAGGTGATTTGTAGGACAATGATCTTGAATACTCTTAATATGTTTTTAAATCAAGACGATGTAGTTGCACATTGTTCCTCTTACAAATGTAATTGTTGTGCATTTAAACACACTATTTCATAACACTGTGTACTCTGTGATTTTGCTGCTGCAACCTTTGTCTGTTATGACCACCAGCTTATGTTGGCTTACTTTTTTTATTTTTTTATTTATTTTTTTAAATATTGTTGTATAACAGACATTACTGAGTCAGTTTGCTGACTTTGGCTCTTCACCACTTGAGCTATTGTTACAAAAACATAGCATTGTAGATAAATATTAAATCATATTTTAGCTTAACAGTAGTTTACAATTAGCCACAGAGGACACTGTTAGCTGTGATTTGAATGAGAAAAGTAATTCATAAACACTTGATTCTACTAGATTTGGTGGCAATGCCAAGGTGGTCCATTTCCTAGGGAAGACCAAGCCATGGTGTTACACCTATGACGCCAACTCCAAACAGATCACAGGAAATGTGCACGAGGCCACCACACACCCCACGTTCCTCCTGGACTGGTGGACCCTTTACTCCAGTGCTGTGGTGCCCATGCTGCAGGAGCAGTACGGAGACGAGCCTTTCCAATCCGGATGTGTGGAGGTGAATGATCATATGTTTTATTCGACCTGCAGGCTTCCATTTACACGAAAAGTATTTATGAGTCTATTCCATCAGATAATGGGTGGAGTTTGAGATTTCCAGATTGTCCAGCGCTATCAAAAGTAATTGATTGTTGTGCTTTCATTGACAATGCAGGAAAGTACTGAATGTGTGGAAATAGGTTGTACCATATTTATGTAAGCATATGTATTCTCCTGTCGCATACCGTCTTTTTTTTTTTTTTTTTTTTTTTATAATTTATCTTCCAGTTTACCTTTTTGTTATTTTGCTCTGATTCTGGATGATATACTTCCTTTTCTGTCTTCCAATTCCTCTCAAAGTTCCAGTACAGTGACATGGTCACTTTTGAGAGGGAAGAGATATGGGTATGTATTTTATAGCTAGCAGAAACTGTTTGTTGGCACCTGGTTTAATGCTATCACTGCTCTTACTCTAAAAGCAGAGCTTCCGCGTGTGTTTGCCTGTCGCCATTAATTTGGAAAGGCTACGTACAACTAGTTCAGTGCTTCGAAAAAAGGCAATGCGCGCAAAGGATGCGATCTGTCTGTGTCTTCATTTTCAGTTGTCCTGCTCAGTTTCACTAACGTGTCTTTATTTAAAAACATTTTTAAAGGATGAGAGCTGTACTTCACTCGAACAAGCCGAAGCCCAGTTGTCCTCAGAAGAACGGAAGAAGAACTGGGAGCAAGGCCAGGCAGACTACATGGGAATGGACTCATTTGACAATATCAAGAAAAAGCTTGATTCTTTTCTCAAATAAAGAAGTAATGAAGCGGGATATCGAAGTAGCACTTGTAGTTTTTCTCAATTAAAGAAGTAATGAAGCGGGATATCAAACCAGCACTTGCAGTTTAACAAACTCACCATAAGTCTTTCAACAAAATTCTGTAAAACATTTTTCCATCTTGGCTGTTACTGACTCTCACTGAAACCAGCACTACCCCACTAAGTTACCTTTTCTGAACGGCTTTAATTGTCTATGCAAGACTGTCATAATTCAGTTTCACCCAGCCACAGGTATCTGTCCTGCACCTTTTCAAAGGTATTTGCAATATATAGATTTTGCATACATTTTTCCATGTCTTTCATGCCAATGCTCGTTTTAATAACAAGTCGAGCTGGGTTTGTTGTATGTGTCGTGGCAAAGATTAGCAGTCAATAATGTGGATCTAATTTTTCTTCTTTAATGTCATTTTTTTACCATGCACTCTTCTGAGCATTAACTATTGCTTTTTCTCAGTTTATTTCTTGTGCTTTTGAATTGGGGGGGGAATAGACTCTGTTTAACATAACTCAAAACATGTTTACAGCACGTCTAAATGCCATAGTATTGCTATTCTGCCATACTCCTTAGTGCCTTCTTGCTCTCTTTATCTATTGCATCACCCTCTCTGTGGACTAGCAGCTAGCTTCTTATGTGCAGTCTGTGTAGGACATTAGGTTTGAACTCTCTTGTGTTGTACTTGACCAGAATGTTTTCTGTACTGTAAAGTCTTCCTTTTGGAACTATTAAAATATCATTAGTTGTTTGGGATTTGCTACGGTGTTTATTTTCTTCATTTGTTTTGGTTAAACTGAAACCAGTTGACTTTGTTTATTTATGAATATATTTATATTAAAAAAAAAAAAAAAAGGTTAAAACATTGTTTAATACCCAAAGCCAAGAAGTTCCAGTCATGCGTACTTCCTGTTTCACTTCACTCCCTTCGACAGCCAAACCGGATTCTGTTGCGTTAGAAGCTTGTGGATGTAAGACATGGTGAAGACCTATTTTGTGCAAAGTTAGGGATGAACGTCACAAATGCGGACGCAGCCCTTGGGATTTTTGGGGATGTCGTAACGTTCCAGAGGGCGTGCCGTGCCGCCACGCTACCTTGTAAACGTTGAGCGCTTCGACGGGAAACCCACCAGTCCGTCAACATGGCTCCCCTCTCCATGTTCCGAGGGCCACTTCTGGTGTCGTTTTCGGTGTTTGTGACTGTGCTGTTGGGTTTTGGATTGCCTCATCTACTGAACGCAGCGATGAGGATGTTGGGCTTACCAGACACTAGTGTAACCGAGTGCATAGTTGTGCTGTATTTCATTTTGGTGTTGTATGTGGCGACGCCTCGAATTCCTAGAGGATCGATTGAGGTAAAGTAATCTCATGTACTTTAATTCCCAACACGGAAATGAATTAATGCTAATGTCTTCTAGCTCTACTGTTGCATCCATCTAAGATAATATACTGTATATTATCTTAGATGGATGCAACAGTCATGTCAGTAACGTTATTTCCCACAGGTGAGAATTAATTAAAGTCTCTTTACTGAAACACTTTCGTATGTCATAGTATAGTGTGCCATGCAAATCTAATAAAGATACAATTTATTATTTTTGTGGATAGTTATAAAAAAAGTAATGGTATAGGAAATCGAAAAATTCATTAAGTCATAGTATGCTATTTCGAAAAAAAGAATTTCAAAAAAAATTCGTTCAAAAATCAGAGTATACTGTTAAAGTCATTAAAAAAAATCATAATATAGTATGTTGAAAAGAGTCATGAAATAGTCATAGTATATCATATAAGACAAAAATCAACAAGTCATTCTTTTTCCAGTGACTTGTTAAAGATTTTTTTAGTGATGGTATAGTATGTCATGTAAAAAGCTTCAGTATAGTTTGTCATAAAAAATGTCATAAAAAGTTAATGGCTGTATGGCATAAGTCATATTTAAGGAGATCATTTACTACATGGAATAAGGAGTATTAACTATATAAATTGCTATAAATGGTGAAATGGCGGTGTTTTGTACATGTATAATAAAACTGACTCCGTTATTGTTCATACAATAACTTGTGTTGTGCTATAGATAGACAATCTTTTATTTTTAATATTTCCATGTTGAATATTTTCTTTTTATTACCTTACACATTGATGTATGTAAGCTTTTATAGCATCCTTTTGTTTATCTTTATACATCTCCTGGGGAATATAGCAAAAACTTTACTTTTTTCTGCCCCTTTCTGCAGGTGAAGGGAAAAGCTGTGTTGGTTACAGGTTGTGACAGTGGATTTGGTCATGCACTTGCCAAACAGCTACACAAGCTTGGCTTCACGGTCTTTGCTGGATGTCTTTTTAAGGTACAGATAAAACAAACAGTAACTACTCATCCATTAAAACTGTCCTAAAGAGGTACTGATGCAACTCCACGGCCTGTATTTGCACTCTACAAGAGCAAGCAGAAAAATGTATTCAGTGACCATCATTGGTTTGCCTTTTTTGAATCCATTTATTTTTCCATTGCTTTGGACTTCTATTGGTGCATTTCATCTTCATGTCATGACTGTGTGTAACTAAGAAGACGTGACATCCTTGCAGGATAACGGTGGAGAGGGTGCAAAGGAACTGGAAGAATTTCATTCAGATGGCATGAAGGTAGTCCAGCTGGACGTCTGCAGTGACGAGCAGGTGGACCAGGCTGTGGAATATGTCAAGGAGAGCCTGGAGGACACAAAAACAGGTACTGTAAATAACTTGCATGTTTTCACCAAACTTGATGGAGTTCATTCACAGACTTCGTTTTCTACTTTGACTCTCTGTCACTGGTCATGATCCAGGTCTTTGGGCTGTGGTGAACAACGCTGGACTGTCAACGTTTGGGGAAGTAGAGTTCACCCCCATGGACACCTACAAGCAGGTGTTGGAGGTCAACCTGTGGGGCACCATCAGGGTCACCAAAGCGGTTCTGCCATTAATCCGCAGGGCCAAAGGTCAGTGACTGGGAAAAAAAAAAACCCACTATGTTAGACATTGTCCCTTTGACACACACATACAGGACGTTGAATAGTGGCCAAAATGGATTTGCCAAACTATTGCTTGGATTTGACTTCGTTCATTTTGTTACCAGACTTGTTTCCAAGTTTCTTTATGAAGGATTATAAGCATTCTTAGAATTCCTCCTTGAAAGAAAAGAGTGCAGCCAACTAATAAGTTGTGTCCCATGATTTCTGTGAGGAATGCTAATAAAGCAAACAGTCCTGAAAAAAAACAGTATTTTTTTAAAAATCAATACTAAAGTAGTGTGTACTGTGAATGGTGCTTCTTTCCACAGCTTAGGTGCAATAACAACTTGATAGATATTTTAAAGGAAATAGAAAACTTGGATTACTTGCTGCTCAGAATATGCTAAATTGTTTTTGACAAAGTTTATCAGCATCCAACATATCCTCAGATAGTGTACCAAACCCGTAACCTCCATCTCTGCAGGACGTGTTGTGAACCTGTCCAGCATGAATGGGCGGATGGGAGGCGCCTTGCAGTCAGCTTACAGTGTATCTAAATATGGTGTGGAAGCTTTTTCTGATTGCCTTCGCTATGAGATGAAGACCCGGGGAGTTAAAGTGTCCATAATCGAACCGGGCAACTTCACCGCAGCCACCAGCATCATGACCCGGGACGCCGTGGCCAGCACAGCCAATAAGCTGTGGAGGGAGGCTCCCTCGCAAGTCAAGGAGGATTATGGGAAAGCCCACTTTGAGCACCTAATGGCTCTGATCCGCTCTTCCTCCAACAGTGGACAGAAGGATCCGGCTTCTGTTCTGGATGACATCACTGATGCCATCATGTCCAAGCATCCTTACACACGGTACCACCCCATGGAGCCACACAGCTGGATCAGAGTTCAGCTGATGACCCACCTTCCTGGCGCCATATCTGACTTCCTCTACTTCTAAAAAGAGGAGCTGTTCCCGTAAAGAGCTCGCTCCGTGTCACACAGCAGCATATTATTCAACTATGTAGCTACAGACTCTCTCTGCTACGTGTGCCTCAGTACTTTAAATCATTCACTGATCAAGCCTTAAAACAATGATTTTTATAAACTGCAAGTTTTAGCTTTTTTTTTTTTTTTTTTTAAATGTTACAATCACAGTATCATTCTTTAAGACTGATTTGAATAAAGTGACCAAAATGTGGTGATGTTTGGTCGAAGGTCTCATTTGTTGGTGCCAGTAGTAATAACACAGGCGTCCACTAAGTGGCGCTCATGCATCATACAAAACTACCACTGCTGTCCACGTGCATGAATCATCTGCTGTCTTTCACATAATGTTAATATCCTGATTTAAACAGCATTATAATCACATTTTATAGCATAAAAGCTAAAGCACAAACAAACAAATCTACCCAGTTTTCTTAAGTTAGGACTCGTAGCCAAACAGGCGATAGTTTAGTGTTTTGTAATCCAGTAAAAAAAAAACAAATAGCTTTAGATGAAACTTAAGTTGATAACTGAGTATTAAAACATTGTGACAGTTTAAAACAAGGCCTCATATCATTTTTATGCTGTTTATTACGTCTTTTGAACACTAATAAACTCTTCTAAATTATTACACCTGAAGACAATCCCCTCCATAAAAACAGTATTAAGAGCATGACATTCAATTTCACAGCACTGTCTTTATCATTCCACAGCATGGATCCGTTTTCTTCACCCTCTGCCTCATACAGGAAAAAGCTTTGTGAGACAAAGAACACCAAGAAGCAGCACGAAAGCACCAAAGTTGAACACTGGGTCATTTGTTCTGAATATTATCAAGAAATCAAAATCTGGAGATTCAAGATCATCTCAGGCTCGTTTAGCAGTCGAAACAAAGATGTCCGGCTGCACTGTAGTTCTTGATCACCAAAAAAAGTTTGATAAACGATCTCTCGATAATATCCGTCACAACTGTCGGTGTCTTTTTTTTAAGCAGATTTAAAACCATGTCTGTACAGCTACAAGGCTCTGCTCATGCAGCCTCCATTGGTGTAAAAAGATCCCAGTTTATAACAATACCTAAGCAGGGAGGAGATACTGTAGTTCTGTATTTGAATATCAAGTAAAACATTTACGTATTGAGGATTTCTTTTTTTACATATTTAAGTGGCTAAACTGAAAAAGTGAATGTCTTACACTCGTCTTATATGAAATACATACAGACATTAAAGAAAACAAACCTTGACAGTTTCTTCACAACCAACGATGTGTGATGCCGTGACTCGAGGTGCTCATACATGAGATTCAGGTCATGATCACATCACACCTGGGGGGGTTATGGTTCTGAATGAACATCAGCACATATGTTATACTGTACATGTAGGCATTTATGTACTTCACTTCAGAAGGTATACTTGATGAACTCGGCAAAGGTAAGGTCACTTGAAACTACACACAGTATCACCTAATGGGCATTTTATGCGAGACAGAAAAAAAAGAAACAAAACGTTAGACAATGACATTTTCAGCCGACAGCTAAATGAGGAAATTCCCTTTCTCAACAAGGATGCCACCCCAACAAAACGCTCACTAATCAGACGCACATGCAAAGCTTCAACCAAATAGCACACCGTGGTGACGAGAGGTGGGAAGAAGGGAACAAAGGAAGGGACTAAACCTTTGGTTGACAGAAAGCTGTGAAGGCACATTAACATCTCCTAAATCCTTCAAAGTGGAGCACATTGCGTTGGCGTTTGTCACTTTAATGCTGTGTAATATTACTGATGCTGTAGAACTGGAAGTCAGGGAGGAACGTTCACAAAAGAAAAAACACGGGTGGTTGTTTAGCAGTTGGTTATCACTGTAGGCAAACACCGTCTCACGTAAAGTGTCAGAAGAAAAGGGCACCGATTCAACAGCCGGGGATCGGGTGTAATAAAGGACACGCGACAGGATTCCTGTAACACAAATACTTCTCTGGTGACACAGAAACCAAAAAGGGGAGAACTGAAAATGAAGGGAATCCAGGCACAAACACCTTACATGTTTGTTTTTTGTTCATTTCGGGTCCTAAATCTCAAAAAAAAAAACAAAAAAAAAAAAAACACTAGCCATACTGATACATGTTTAGGTATTAGACAAGAACTTTGAGTCCCGACAGAAGCCGTTTAATCCTGGAATGTTTTTGTACCATTTAAGAAGATGTAATCTCACTTAAATGAATTGACTGCTAGTACTGCAGGCGCATAATTAGAACTTGCAATTTTTAACCAGTCATAAATCAAACTGAAAGGTAATTGTTGCACTGTTTAGAATTCATCTTTTTACAGCTTCAAAACGGAGAGAAACCCACAGCTCTGGCATGAATAGATCTGTCAATCATCTGGGGAACGGAGAGAGAAAAAAGGTTCACACCCATGTTCTGAGTTCCTTGTGGCATGACTGACTTTTTCATGCTTTGACCAATTAGACCTTACAAGCCCCTCCAATCCAAAATCCTCTCTTTTCTACTAAGATACATCGGCGTTGGCCCTCGTTCATTTCATTTACTGGACTGGGAGCGGTAATCCAGATACTCTCTTCAGTGGAACACATTCTCCAAGTCTCCTCCCTGGATCCTACTTCACTGCTTTTGTTTTTTAAGGTCCATTTTTCCATTGCTCCACTACGAAATCCCCTCTTCCCCCCCTTCTCTCCCTCTCTGCACTAGGGTCCAACTGGCCCCGGCTGGAGAACTCATCATCTCCCCGAGTGGCTCTCAGGCCAGCGCTGCTGCAGCTCTGATTGCAGGCGCTGGTGCTAGCTGCCCACTTCAACATTCAAAACACTACTTGGTCCATTTTCACTCAACAAATACCCATTCACTGTAAATACAAACCATGTGTTCTGCTGAACACCTCTAGGTGCACATTATTCTAACTTGACACTGACCATACGTTTGGGGGAAAACAAAGCTGGATTCCCCCAAACTAGGAGACTTTCTTAAGACATATTGACCGTGGAAATAAACACCCAGATATCAAACAAAATACCTAGCATTTCTTTTACTAGCCGAAAGCAATTATTTTCTGGAAACCTTTTGCGAGTCCTCGAGGAAGAGGGCGTCTCCTAGCATGATGTATGTGTGCTGCAACCGCACAAACGCAACCCCTGGGTGACCCCTTAACTCATCCATTCCCTCCAGTGATAACTAATTCAGGAGCAGTGACATCATCCTCTGGACTGCCTACACTGGTCCTCCATTTCCCCCTCCCGGCTCCACAGAACTGGTGTGTGTTTGGAAGCTGCACTACTGCTGCTGCCCCCTCCTCCTTCCTCATCTCCAGAGAAACATCCCCTTTAGCATCAGCTGTCAGTCACACTCCAGCAGGGGGGCTGGGGGTGGGGGGGGGGGGGGGGGTAGTCTCCAGACAATGAGGGGAAAGTACTTTCTGACTCTTCACATGAACTCTGGACACATGGACAAACTCCCCCATCACTCATGAAGACCGTCTCTCTTTTGGGAGATAAGCAGTGGAAGCGCGAGGACACTTTTCCGTCCGTCTGCATGCACGCATGCAAAGTCGGCCCCCCTCTGTCTGCGATGCCTCGGCTTTTGTAACATTCACATGATATGGATACAGCAATATGTGAGACAAGCAGTTCTGTTGTACAAAAATAAATTTGAACAACCAAGTTTGACTTTGCACAAGAGGAGGAATCCTCCAAATCCTCCAAACCGCAGACGGCGGCGCGAGTGCGATATTGCAATCTCTACCACTATGATCCTAACAGAATTGTATCAATAAATATATTTTGGTCACTTAGTTTTTATTCATGATTAGCAGTTAGCAGGAGTCGTGGATTAGCGTGTCCACAATCATAAAAGAAAAAATGAAGACAGACAACGTAAAAATGAGTTGAAATGTCGACCTCTGTAGGCGAGTTTGTGAACATCTGAAGAATGCCACAGACGGGTGGTTGTTGTGAATTGGACAGTTAAAAGTCATCACATTTTTTTAAAAGAAAATGTTAAAAAAAAGATTATATATTATCAACAAAAACAAAAAAAGGGGAAACTAAGGGCAACTCTAATAGATATCAAGGTGGAAATAAATGGCATTGCCTATGACCTAACACATCTGGATAATTTAAAATAGGCGACCGAGAAGTCTGTAGTCAACTCAAGTCCATAGTCTTTTTGTCTCCCCCTTCCGTTCCTCCGTGTGTCTCCCATACCTCCTCTTGGAATGCTCACAAATCGGGCATTTAAGTCCTGATGATGTGTTAAAGTCCTCAGGCTTGGAGTTTAAATGTTAGTGTGTGTGTTCTGGCGTAAGGATCTGTATGTATATATCGGGATGCAGTTGCTGTATAGGTGTGTGTGCGCACGTGGAAGAGTGTGTGTGTGTGTGCGTGTGCGTGTAACAGAGGGATCAGGAGGCAGCCAGGGCCTTGATCAGGTACAGTTTGTCTCCCTGCTCACTGGTAAAGATGGGGGCCTTTTTGTAGTGTTCAACAAGCTCTTCCATAGAGTTGAACTTGCGCTGTCCAATGCAGTAAAGGCTTTCTTTCATCTGCACTTTGAAATGCTTGTTCTTACTCTGCGCCTTCAGGGAGATGGAGAAGTCGTTTGGCTGTGAAAAGAAAAGGAAATATAAGTTTATATGATCAGTGGTTAGACGGTGTTTAAAAGATGTCTTTCTCCTGAGTCAAGGCGCCTTTAGACTGTGCAACAACAATCATGTATGTTTATTGTAGCATTTATAGCAGTAGTCACATTGTGAGAATGTGGTCCTGAATTTCAGATACTGTTGCCAAAGCTCCAAATAAAGCAATCTAGGTCCACGGTTTTGGACCGACGACCACAGATTTTACCATTTTCATCTCAGACAGCCCAAACCACACAGTGTAAAGGTGCCTTACTGCTGTAAACCATGTACAATACATCGGTAACGCTGCGTAGGCTACTGACCGATGACTCGCTGTCTCGGATGAGAAAGTCCCCCTCTACCCCTCTCTGGTTGAGGGCCACCTCCGCCTGGTGGCGCGTCACCTTTCCGTAGTACCACTCTTTCCCCGCGAAGCGCCCGGTGCCTGAGGGCGAGATGTAGTCACAGTCGGGTGTGGGCGGCCCAGCAGGCCCTGCTGCGGATTTATGGGAGGCGGAGTCCAGCACCGTGACGTAGTTTTTAGGCACCAAGCCCAGTTGTCCGTCGGCTTTGCGACACTTCCACCACTCCGGATCGTTTTCTGGCTTCTCCACGACCTCCATCACCTCGCCTTTCTCAAAGTTAAGCTCCTCGTCGTTGCCCGAGCTGAAAGGGTAGAGCGCCTGAACCGTGTGCAGCACTCTGTTCCCGTTCGTGGTGCTGTTCACCACGGCCGCCAGCTTCTCCGTTAGCGATCCAGCCGGGTCTCCGAGCCCACCCATGCCCCCTCCTCCCGCCGTCCCATCCATGTCTTCTGTCACATAGTTGGACGGAAACCAGCCAGACCGCCCGCTGTAGCTACCGCGCCACCAGCCGTCGCTGCACTTCTCCATCACCACGACCCGTGTGCTTTTCACCAGGGACAGCTCGTCCTCGCGCTCTGCTGTGTAGCTGAACTTGACCAAGGCGGGCAGGTTGAGGTCGTACAGCCGCTCGCCGTTATCTTCGGCCATTCCGGTGTCTGCGTTGGAGGCCGTGTCTCTCATCCCCCCCTTTCTGCTCTTCACCTTCCCAATTCCTAGAGGAAATAACCAAAGAAATAGTTAACAGAGAAAACAGCATTATCTACTTTAAAATTAAGTGAATCAGGTTTGGAAGGTAATTAGAAGGCACACAGACCTTTAGGTTTTCTTGTGTAAATTAAAACGTAAGTCACAATTTTACTAAAACAAGTCCCGGGAATTCACATTTTCACACCCTTCCATTGATGTGGAACAAGTCTCAACAGAAAAAAAAAACAACAATACACACACATCATTAAAAGACACTCCTGGAAATTTAAGGGAGGAGTAAAAAATCTCAGACAAATACCAGGCAGCGATAATAAGCATTAGGGAGGGTGGGTAAGTAGGGCTAAAATCATTCCCTTTCCACATTTACAGTGGCCTAACCGCCCACACTCCAAATCCAGATACATTCTTGGGGATTAGGCCTATAGGTGCTGAGGAAACAAAAAAAGCAATGCTACTGTGGTTGAGAAAAAAAAAAATTGGAGTGGGTTGAAAACTTGTTTTGGCATGGGCCTATAAATCCTGTGGAAACTAAAAAAATGTACAAAGCACTGCTACCTAACACTGGAATGAACAAAAAACAACATGACTTGAACTCTGTGAGCAAAAAGGCTCAGTCCCATTTCATTGTTGCTAATCACCTTGGCTGCCCTGACACCTGTGGCCTCGCTTGCACAGCAGCTGGATACCAAATTCTGTCCCACTTCTGCAACCGCTCCAGCATTTAGCTCCACTTCCTCCCCTCTGTCCACACGTCTCTTCCCCCCCCCACTACCCTCCAAGCATCCCACTGAGCTGACCGTTTGATTCAGGCAAGGAGAGCGGATGAAGAAAAGGGCATATTTATCAAGTCTTTATCAACCGTGGTCAAGCAAGGAACGTGCTTTTCCTTTCGGTTTGCAGTCTTAATGTCAGCCAGTCACACAGGGAATGACCACAGGGTGAATTATATCATATTTGCAGTCGACCTTTTGGCAACTCTGAACAGCCCAGAGGCTTACAGAAGGGGGATTACCGAGCCCTTTAGCCTTTCTCTCGGTTATGGAGCCCAGACGCCGAGCTGTTGCAGGCCGGTGGCCATCGCCTTACTGGACAATAATTTCCAGTTGGCAGCCTGGCATGCTAACAGTTGTATGAAACATGTGTAGCTAGCAGTGGACACAGTGGCGAGGTCACAACTTCTTCTAACTTTCCACGTTTACCAGAAAGCAGCTCAAATAATCACAGCTTGATCCGTTCGTATAATCCTTGTAGAAAGAAAAACAGAGCAGTCCACCATGTTGCTGGTTCTTGCAAAACTAATTCAACATTACTGGTAATTGTCACAGATCTACGGCCAGACTGATGATGTAGGCAAACCAAAGCAGAGACAGATCCCGACACCAGACGCAGTGAGCAAACCAAAAGTAGTGACTATTTCTGATTACGTTTGCAAGGCTATTGCTTGCATAATCAAAAGCCAGCTGGGTGAAATTATATAGGAAGGTAGGGTGTAGTCTTCAGGATAGTGCGTGTTTGTTTTCCGAGCGAGGAACGTGACTAATTTGTCACAACGCCACTGAATCTGCTTCACCACAGATAAATTGGCACTGGAACGTGTCCGTGACTCAAGGAGCGCAGACAAATTTCATGGTAGTGCTGAGAGTCCAACGTCAAATTGCTTCCAGGTAGAACCTGTTATTAGTCACACCACTGTAGATAACTACAGACTCCAGACAGGGTGCTGATGTCTGTACGTGGAGGTTAGGTCTACTTATGTCTCTGTGGAGTCTTAAGAACTTCAAGACAAAAACAAAAACATCTACATATAATATAGATCAGTTTCATATCGATGAAATGGCCAAATTAGTAAATTCCCCAAACTCTGGCTTATAAATGTACACACACATTAACAACACAAACTACTCGCTCGTCGTCGATGTTTAAAATGTGTCACATGTTGAGGAAGAAGAACATGTTCCCGCAGGTGCAAGCCCCAGAATGTGTTCTGTGCACAGTTGGAAATGACCTAGTTAGCTCCAAGCAAAGGTTAGGGGTCAACCCTGCATAAATAAATGAACTTTTATCTCCAGCTGAGAGCGGGGACAACTGAGAGCTTATATTTTATCTCTCTGGCCAGGTATAACAGCCCTTATCAGTGTCCCTGTCAGGGATTTTATTTGCCGCTTAATACACACGAACACTTTGCATTAAAAAAAGATCAGAGTCCGGGGCCACTGCGTTTGACTAGATGCTCAATCTAAGCTGAGGTATTAAAGGGAAGTTGGCATGTGCCTGTACATCAGGTAGATGATACGGAGAGAAGATAAGAAGTGCCCATCGGTCCTGCTGCTGGAGGTTAATTGCTGAGAATTCTCTCAGGTGGCAGCAAACAAACAACCGAGTTAATGCCTTCTTTTATAATTTAGCAGAGGCTCTTATCTTGCAGGGCTCAGCATGGTAATGCTTAAGGGCAAGGCCACTGTCTTCAATGGTGGACTTCAGCTGCATTTTGCTTAACTGGTGGTAACCGATTTTGGGGAGCACTTCCTGGATATTCTGCCAGGTTAGTAGGGCGGTTTAGTTGTGCTTTGGTTCAACCAAAATGTCATTGGTTGGACAATCGCTGGAGCTACTTTCTACAGGAGAAAAGCGCTTCTTAATCATTTAAATGATTTCTTATTATAACAAATTACTTATTGTTAAAATCTTAACACTTCCTGTTAATATCAAATTATTTTCAGGGTTGGAGGAACGTTTATGTGGGATTGTGAGAGCAGGAGGGAGAGTTCATGTCTTTAATGAAGGGTTACTTGTTTTGGAACAATACGCCTGTTTATTTAGCCTAGATCTTCCTACTACTGGTGGTGGGGGAGAAAGAAAGCACTCTGGACATCTCCAGCTGTAGCTGCGCCTAGTGGGAGGAGCTCCGAGGAGCGCCTCAGAGAGCCCCGTGGGGCCCGTGTCTCAGTCCTGACAAGTGTTCAACTATAATGCATAAAATAAGGCAGTTCTGGTGGTTGACAACAGCCCTACAGGTTTTAAGTTAAAAAAGCAGATCTTTGGACCTTTAAATATACCAACCTCTAGAAACCATGTCCAGTGGGAGGCTTAATGTTTGAGGGAAACACATTCAACTGCAAACAAGAGGAGTGATCTGGTGAATGGGGTGCCAAGTAATAAGCGTAAAATGCCAAACTGTACATCTAGAAAAGAAGTATGGAGAAAAACAGTACGACTAAATCAGCACAACTCGACATTGTTTGAGGACTTGCACAGAAAATTTGAAATACTTTCTGATCGTCTTTACATTTCTAGAAAGAATTATCTGGAATTAGCGCAATAATTATAATGCAATATGCACATGTATTCATTGTAATTTCCTTCCAGCACTGCATATGGTATGAAAGTTACAATGACGGGGCAGTCTTGAGGTGAAGCACTTCAGACAGACACGACATCAGCTGTTGTGACGGACACATCACATCACTGGTCGTTATCAGGACTGAAGCCGTGAATCTTTAATCATGGGACCGTCCATCTTAACAGCAGACCACAGTACTGTCCAGGCCTCCCAGCTTCACCATAACACAACCACTTGAGGAGTAAATAGCCAGTCAATAACTAACAGAATGTGCCTAATCTGTGCACAAATGCTGCATCATCTAATGGGTCCTGCACATAAAACACTAAGACAAACTAACAACCCCAACTCCTCCCTAGCGGAGGGAAGCACAGTCCTCACTTCCACTCCCCACCTGAAAGCAAAGCTGAATAATGCGTCGATACAAATGTGGTAGCTGAGCGCTTCCCCTGAAACCCACACACCATGCCGCTAATGTTACTTAAGAAAAGGTCCTCAAGACAGAAGAGGAATTGATAAGTAAAATGCACTGGAAACTTTTCTGTTTTGATGTCAGATGCTTTTTCCTGTGCATTTCCCGAGAAAAGAAAGCAGAGGAAGGAAATCATGTCGTGTGAGATGGCAGTAGCTCACTGCAAACAATGACAAAGACCTTCACGCGCATATATCAAACCCTCAAAACTTCACTTTTTGTTTACAGATGAGGTGCACCAGCAGGAGGAGAAGAAAGTGCTGGGGAGTGTGTTTGGCTACCAGTGACAGAGAGGAACTAGTTCTGTTTTTTAACTCTGGCCTCCCTACGCTGGCTGGCTGTCCATTGTCTGCCCGGGCCCTTTCGACCCCTCGGCTTCCCTCCATTCCAGGGCTCTTCCTCTGAGGACGACAACACCCCGCGTCAGGCTGTCTGAACATCCCTGTACTTGAACAGAACACGACGACTGGGACAAGTTCAACAGCAGTGAAACGCTCTGTAGAGCCAAACACGTTTTAAACGTTCTGGTAATCAGGTCAGTACGACACTGGCGAGTCCCTTCCACATCCTGAAGCCTGTCCTCTGTGGCAATTTAAACTCTTGACAACAATGTGTCACTCGCTTTCTACGGAAATGTGACGCAACACAGCAGCTCTCAGACATATGGTTCAGTGTGGGACTTACACAATAAATGTAATGACACTGTGCGCAGACATAACGAGTGAGTCAAACTGACTAAAGGGAACGTACACGAGAGCGAGTCGTGTTCTTCAATGGGATTGGTTTGGGGTGTCTTTTAAGGACACGGCTTCGAATCAAGCTGCTAACATGGCTGACTGATAGCGGCACAGGAAACATCCAAAGCTCTTTCAACTTCAGCCGTCTGAGACATCAAAAGCAGGCAGCCGTCAGTCGCTGAGATGGAGCAGAGGGAGGGATGGAGGCGCAGTGCTCCATTTGGTTTACAGCTCTGGGCGGTAGAGAGACTGCCAAGTAGAACCCTTCCTGCTAGTAAAACAAGGTGGTTGTATTTATTCCAGCAATTATTTACGTTATTTCCTGAAATCATGCTGAACCTCTACTCTGGTGACCCAAATTTAAATAACATGGCTTGGGTTCCCCTCTCGCTCCCAACTGAAGCAACAGATGTCATGATAACTTTAGAAGAGCATCAGGTCTGGTGGCCCCTCTGGGATCAGTCTAATGACAGAGCCGAGTGTCGTTTACAATGTGTTGATACATTTGACACTTGACTTTAAGACATTAATGTTTTTCTACAAAACAATTTTTCTAAAAAGAGACACATTTTGTAAATATTGTCTAAAGACAAACCACAAATGGCAAAACTTTGAGTTGCAATCTGAAATTAACGGATCCAAAAAAGAAAACAAGACTACAAAACTGACCCACAATGCCAGTTTTCAGTCCCTGACATTTTAAAACTCTTCACATCTCTACTTTTCATTCATTAACAGAAAAGTATTGATGTTCACTAGCCAGCTCTACTCAACAATGACTCAGGATAGGTATTGCTAAACTCAAAACAAAATAATCCTCCTTTGCTGGAACCAGCAAATGATCATTTATTTATTATTATTGATTAACTTTCTGTCGATCCACTAGTGTATTAGGCAACTATTAGGTTCGATGTACAAGGGGAGTTGCGCTGTAGCAGCTCCACTGTTTTCTACCAACATGTTTACAGTGCTTGCAAGTTTCAAACCACTGCTCACTTCCTGTTAGGCAGTTCTTAATGGCAGAAGACACAGGAAAACAAAAGATGAGTGGACAGCTTCACGGGCAAAAAACATCTTAAGGTGACTTAAGTGACGTTGACAACTCTCCCGCCAATCTTGTAATTATAATTATGTCTTTTGCCTTTTCTTGTCTGGGAACAGTGAACAGCGGTTTTGGAGAAAAGAAGCGGGAGTTGGAAAGCAGGAGCGAGCGACAAGAGACTGCCAGAAAGTCAAACAGACACACAATGATTCAACTTCCTTCTGACTCCTCACTTCCTCTCTGGCCTGCACTTCTCCAACGCTCAGGGAGAAATGTGGCTCAAATTAGAGTTTCCGCTCGCTGGGGAGGCTGAGAAACAGGAAAACAGAGGGAGGGGAGCGAGAGAGAGGAGACCAACAGCTCTCAGTTTACACAAGCAAAAAGGTTTGTTAGCTCATCTCTATGTTCTTCTCAGCCCTTTGCACTCTCTGGATTCTTTACAAGCAGACACACACAAGTAGGGAGATAGACAGAGACAGGAGATACCACTCAACAGTTACAAGGTGAGATTACAGCATGGGTGTGCACCAGGGCCTTTTGAAAAAGTGTGTCAGCGTGGCTGTAAAGTATCCGCCGCCCACGGAGCTGCCGGCGTAATGACATTCCTCTGATAACCGAGCGAGGTGCGGGAGATGGGAGCCCGGGTCCCATCAATCAGCAGAGACCTCTTGCTCCTCTCAGTACAATGACGATAGTGTTCTACATGAGCACCCCGCGTCCCTTCAACTGTAGCTCATGACTGGCAGTGGGGTGGAGGAGGGAGACCCTCCCAGAATGAGCGAGCTCGCCCTGAGGGTAGTATAAAAGAAAACAGACTTCGGCTATGTCTTGAGATATTCCTAAACAGGGTGGAGAGAGGGAGGGGGGGGGGGGGGTCTTCAAGCATGATAATGCAATCCACCAAGTTGCAGCCCACTCACTAGGACAAATGCTAGAAAAAATTGGGAGTAGGATTACTGTGTGTGTGTGTGTGTGTGTTGAAAAGAAAGACATAATGATTGCTGAGGCAATTACAGGCTTCGGCTCAGCAGAAGGCTTCTCAAGAGCATATCCACCCAGTCTTTGCAGCCGGAAAAGGCTATTAAGACATTCTCTCTCCCTCTACCAGCACGACATGTTAGCACAGAAATCTCTGTCTGCTCGCTCTAAATATAACACATTAATTTGGCTGACCTGAAGCTGAAACCGACTTACAACCCAAAATGATAAAAACAGAGTATGATGAAAGAAAACCGGGACAACAGCTCCTGCAGTCACGAGAAAAAAGAAACCGCTCAAACTTCAGACAAAAGCTCTCAACACCGCTTGGAAAACAGCAAAACAAGGAGCTACAGAAGACGAAGAAAGTGAAAAACTCACGAAAGAAATGTTTGAATAGGTTAGCCATGTCCATTTTGGGCTCGCTGTCTCTCCCGGCCCCTGCTCCCTTCCCACTGCAGCTGTAGAGTTATTCCATGTGAACACCCAGAGAGCTGGGCGGATAGCGGAGCAAGGGCGGCCCACTCCATGACCATGTGGTCGGTCTTAGCCAATGAGAGGGCGGATAGAGAGGCCTCCGGTGTAGCTCTGGAAGGCAGAGTACAGAGGCCTCATGGAAAAGGGTAAGAAGTAGGGAGGGAGGGGGCTGAAGCTCAGACTCGGAGAAAGAAAAAAAAGATAAAAGAAGAGAGGTATAGGGAAAGCAAAGGATCCATTCCATCAACATCAAGCAGCAGATTGGTGTTTCTAGGAGGGTAGTGATCGGAAAAATACACTCAGTGAGGATCCGAGGGGACGCTGCACAACGGCTGAGTGAGTCAGTGAGTGCTCTGCGTCACATGACTGCAGTTGTTTGTAGAGACACACTCATAACTTTACAACAAACCCAGGAAACATGAGTCCTCAAACACACACACACACACACACACACGAAGACACCACTCCACACCCAGCAACGGGCTTGTTTAAAAAAAACAAAAAAATAAAAAAAAAACTTTTTTTCCTCCCACATAACATATGGAAGTGTAGTCATCGGGCTGTTTCTCTTATTGTTCTCCCACACATGTAGAAGAAAAACACAAACCACACACAACAATCCTCTAGTTAAAACGTCTTCAATCTACTTTCAGCTCATTAAAAAAGGGACAAATGAAATTGACGTCTTTACAAGCTTTCTGATTGTACTAGTGTTTAACAAGGCTCACATTTGCCTGAACTCATGATTTACATTAGTCCTTGTTTTATTGTGTTTATGTGTGAGTGAGACCTGAGCCGTGCAGCTGTTCACCTGAGGTTATTTCATCAATGGATGTAGTGACAGGCGGGAAGTTGTTAGGAAGCCCAACAACACGGAGGCACGCGCACAGACACAGTGCAGACTAAATGTGCAGCAGTTAAACAATTTACAGGATTGAGTCAAGAAATAACTCAAAGGAAACATCTTGTAAATTAAAGTCAGTGTTATCAGGACTTAAAGTACAAAAAAAGAGCCATATAAGCTCTATTTATTTAAAAAAAAAAAAAACTGTTAGAATATTTCCTCTGAGTATTTCAGTACTTCAGTACTCGAACATCACCAGTCTCCTCTCACCACAAACAATACACACACACAAACACACTGTGCAGCTAACAGGAAGAGGCGGTTCACATGTCCAACAGATAAGTGTTTTGCAAACACTGCAGCGTGTGATACAGTTACAAACTGATGACACACTTCTGATTAGAAGTACCCAGAACACCCACATTCTGTAAATCCCTCTGTGCAAGTAAAAGTCACTTTAGCAGCGGGGCTTCCTCACAGCGGGTCACCCCACGCAGAAAGAAGTCATAATCACCACATCAAATCAGCAGAAGAGATGAGGCTACCTCTTTGTCGGTTTTACAAGTGTGGTTTGATGTTATGTGTTTATTAAATGGGCCGTAACAACAGGTCCCACAATTAGAATAAACGACAATACACGGAGTAAAAAGAGCTGCATTATATCACAACATATGGCATTTTTCTAAATACTCAATTTAATGTCAATATCACGCAGGCCTTTAAGTTCCTGTAGCGACTGCTGTTGTACAACTTTAAATCTAATGGCCTAACTACACCAACACACATGGTGATCCCATCATGCTCCTAACTTAGACAATGATGCCTTACAGAGTAGAACCAGTGGAGATTAGTGTGAAAAGCAGCAGAAACTGAAGATAAGACATTTTAGAAAACGCATAAGAGAAATGAGCGAAACGCGAAATCGTAGGCAAACAGAATACCAGGCGATCTGGATGCCAGTGGTCAGTGTGTGTGTGTATGTGTGTGTGTGTGTGTGTGTATCCCAAATTGTCATGAATGCCTGTCATCTAGAAGAATCAAGCTAAAACAAATGGCAACCTTGGCTTACATACACAGTCACATGTGGCAGTACAAGGCCCTCGGCAAATAGCAGTGCTCAGAAATATTACTGCTGTGTTGACAGCAGACATCACCTGTGTCGTATCAATTCTGGTAAAAAGGGCAAGAGATATTTTGAAAAAGTCATCGTCAACCTCCAAAAACAAAAAACATATGAAATCAAAGTAATGTAAAGCAGCCTTACCTGCGCAAACGTCTCCAAGATCAATAAGTAAAAACGGCACATTAGATTAGACACTACACTCTATACACACCCCAATCAGATAATAAAGCTCGAGTACAAGTGTGCTGTGAGAGGAAAGTAGCTCTCAGCATTTCAACCAATCACACATCAACCTACGACCCTCTTCCTGTGGAGGCCGTTACTGTAGACAGTACATTAGATACCACAACAATGTGGTCACAAACAAACTGGGGTAGTGCTGGCCTAGATAAACGACGCTCTCTGATGCGACTCCATTTACAATACCCAATTGTGTATGAAACACAAAGCAAGTCAGTCTCTATCAAAAAGATCTTATGAGTGGGTGAAGATATATAAATGTTTAGGGTGCAAATACAGGTTAACTGGAATCGTGTGAGCTCCTGAAAAACAAATAAACAGACTTGAGAGCTTATCAAACCATCGCAAGTTGAAATTAAACCCTTGCAAAGTGAATAAAGCAGAAGTGTTGCGTTTTACCAAGCGTGTCTTTGAGATTCTTGACAATAGAAGCTTTCCTGGCACTGTTTTTCCTCTCCACATAGTTGGACGGCACAAAGCCTGTTTTGTTGGTGGCATTTCGAACCCTCCACCAGGATTTGGAGTCGTCGAGGAGCCAGAGGCGCTCGTTTTTCTTTATGTCCAGCTCCTGGTCCTGCTGGGCCATGTAGTCGAACTTGGCGATCACAATCACCTCGTCCGTCATCTTGCACTCAGTATACTGGAGGGGAGAGAGGAGAAGAAAAGGAACGGCTGTCAGGGTGGCTAGAATGAATATATATACAAACTAAGAAATGAACTACAAAATAAATATGTGTATCTTTACAAATCCTCCATCTGAACTGACATATCTCACTCTATGTGCCGTTTGCTCCAGACACAATGATTAGGTAAGAGACACGCCAAAAGTAAATTCAGTGTGTTTGAATATAGGTAGCGGTACCTGTACTGCATCAAAGCTGACAACTTCAAGGGCTCCGATACTTCTCTGTAGACCTAGGGACAGAACAGAGACAATGCAGGAGAATTACTAACAGACTCTTCTCAAAGATGTCTTACTAATATCTGTATTTATGTTTAAGACACTTAAAGGTCACTCTATGTGGTACTGTACTGACGATATTTGCATGTCAAGCTGTGGACAGTGTTGTGCAAATACACTCCAGCTAGCCTTGAAGAAATGCCAGCTACCATTTCCACAGTTTAGTCTCTTCAGATATCATTTCCCCAGACCAATTGTACTCTTGAAATAACAGATGTAAATGACCATTCTTTTCAGTCTTCAACACTGCCAGCTGCCAGAGAGGATAGAGCACAATCCCTCAGTATCCACATTCTTCATACATTTACAGAGGGGACGATTATTTCCTCCCAGAAGAAGTCCAACGATTGTCCACTGTGTGAGGAATCAAGCACGAATCTGTTGAGCCAGAAGGATGCAAAGATTACTGTAATAGGGAAGTAAAGAAGAGGAGGCACTGTGCGTCAGCAGTGAGGCGACGTCAGCAAGTGAAGCTCTCACTGAGCACTAATGATGTAGGATAAGGCCAATAAATATTCCTGTGTGTGCACCCTATGCAAATGCTGCGATTATGTGAACCGCATTACAAGCGTGGCACCATTGTTTGCAATGTTAGCTTATCACAAGAGCTTTCAAGCTCCTCGAGCATTTTTAAAATGATGATTTGGGAGTACGGATGCACAATCAAAACTTGTCTGTGTTCAACAATAACCGCATTCACAACAACTGGTCTTATGACCCGTGTAGCCACCGGCGCATCCACGCTTAGGTGAATACTGCAGCACTTGAGGAGTCGGGCACTTCTGAAGCTGCCCTGATGTCATGAGAGTGGAAGGAGTCTCACCCCCGACTGACTGACTTCAGGGACCAGACACTGACCTCATTGATTGAGAGCTCTTGGTTTGTATTTGAAGCAGCAGTGTATAGGTTTCAGCTCCAGCTGGCCTTGAGATGGGCCCAGAACCTGATCTTAGGCAAACATAAGGAGCCAAGCTAAACTTTCAGCGCGATTAGCCAAGGGGAGTAAAATAAACAGTAAATAAGTATAGGCTTTAACATTATTTATGCTTTTCTGGAGAAAACGTCACGATGTTGGGATGGTTCATGAAAGGTGGATAAGACCATGACAAGAGCCGAAAGCTAAAATGCAATATAAAGACCCCAAACTGTCTCTGCATTTCATACAAATTTTAAGGGGGACACCTGTGGTCTGGGCTATTTTTCCCCCATGTTGGGTGTTTTAGACTTTGTTTACCAAAAAGCATTAGGGTGTATAGTGTGGTTTATCTCAAGGCATGTTATTGGTTGCTCCTTTTCCATGTCTAATGAAATTAATGAACACCGGGAACACGCTGGGGAGCGGCACACAAAAACAAAGAGCGGATTTACTTTCCTCGAGTGCTGCCTCTTTCACCAAGACAAAAGGCAACAATCCCTCCACTCTCTGGGCTGGATACACGTCTGCCAAAGAGGCTGACAAGTGTGTATATGTGCTCCTTCTCCATTTACAACATCCCTCCCTTAGCATCTTCCATTTTAAACTCTCCCTGCCAGTGCATGAACGAATCATCAATGTAGGAATAACCCTTTTCCCACATTCACTTAGTACACTGCATTTTTTTTTTTTTTAAAACTACCATCACCCCCACATCTAGGGTGGCTGCTGCTCACTAAGAGCACATCGACACCGCAGTGACTTACGATACTGCAGATGTGAGGGAGGATCAAAACGTTGGGCGACAGATGCTCTGAGCTAAACGCGCAGCTGCAGACTGAGCCGAGGCCGCTCGCTACTCCAGAGCACTAAACACGAGGTCAGATAGGTCAAACCTCTCAAATGGTGTCATATACACAGTGGAGCTCCGTTTACCCTGCTGCCTGGCAGAATTAAACAGGTAGCCCCATCCATCACCAACCCCACAGAGCACATTAAATACCAGAGCAAAGTTCAGCTAGTCTGACCAAAATCTGATCATTTTTGTGCTTCCATTCGTTTTTAGCTCTTTCTCAAACATAATCAACGCTTCTCTTAAAACAAACAATTTCATGCGTTTACCGTTTAAGCAAACAACACAGAATTAGATTTATAGCAGCATTTCGTGATCCTGAAAACAGACCACGGTGGGACCCAGAAGGCAACAAGTACAGGGTCATCTTCCTGTCATAGGTCAGTTTGATGATTTAGGATTCAGGAATGGTACAATACAAAAACTCAATACAGTATGTAATGAGTAACCGTGTAGATGCAAGCATCCAGTCCAACTCTGAAAATAACTTTGGTACCAGACATAAAGCAAAAACAGGATCTGTATGCACGAGCCGTGTGGTCGTCAACAAGGCCGACTAGACCACATAGAGCGGTAGACAAGGTGGTCAAATCTGGTGGCCAGTGGTAACTTCAGGGTTTTCCCAGCTAACTGTGGCTGCAACTTCTACTCTGCCTCCTTTGCAATATGCAAAACAGAAAGGGACCAAAAGAATGTTGATATTTTGTTTTTAACTGTACAATAAATGACGTCAATTTAAGCTGGTACTTCCTTTAGTTGCATCACAATAAACGCGTTCCTGAGGTTGAGCAGCTGAAGGCATTATATTTGCATTAATATTATCTTATCAGCTGACTTCATTACAGCTCCCATAACACGGGAATGAGCAAACATACTGATTACTATGGTAGGAGAACACCAAATGTGTTAACTTAACAGCTGTATATTTGATTAAATCTGCAAGTCCGCTACTTAGCATTTTCATTATCAATTAAACTGTGGATTATACTTTTGACAAATCAATCAATACTGCAGAAATACTGAGTTTACACCGACTGAGAAGACTTAAAATGTTGATTTAGAATTTGAATGGCAACGTTTAGAATTAGGAATATGCTTAAAACTATTTGCCCTCATAGCTAACTGTTAACTACTGAATACAAAGCTGATAGAGTGGGCCTTATCTACCGCAACAGCAGCAGTTGTGAGCCAGTGACAGCACCACCAGTGTTACTATCAGTCATCCACTCATGTTCTCAAGAGTGCCAACACTGGTCACAACTGTTTCCCATCAGCACAAGATCCCTTACCCAAATCTGGCTCCGTTATCTTTATCAGCTAAAAATAAATTAGGGTAGAAATAAAATGTAAGGAGGCTTAAGGAACACTGCAAGCCACAAACCACAACAACTGCACATCGGTGGTGTAATCGAGATGCAGTTTGCAACTTTGCGAAGTTACTATGAAACAACACTGACATGACTTGCCCACATCCTGCAGTCTACAGCTGCTGCCACAACCCCATGACACAAGTGGAGATCTAGTGAAAGAGCAACTCCAGTGGCCTGTGTGGTAATACATGACATGGGGATACAACACTAGAGGTATGCATTAGAAGCAAAGAACAGGAATAGGAATGATATTTCAGTGAATGGTTGTGACTTAAACCAGACTGACAGGTTCTATATAAAAAATGAAGTCACAACAACTGGATACCGGATAATGTAAACAAGCCTGAAAGAAGAATTATGGATCCGTGTCTCTCTTCGCTGTGGGACCAAATAGCGCCACTAATCGACAGGATTGCTGAGGCACTGAGACAGCAACAGCATGAGCTCACAGAGGCAGACAGAGTAACCTAATCCCTGTGACAGCCTGCTAAAATCACAGCCTCTGCTGCCTTCTGGAATGTGCTCTGTATGCTCACCGCTCACTCAGCCCCTCTGGCACTGCTGCACTTCCGCCAACTTACACCAAAACTCACAATTTTGCCCACACTGTAGGTTTCACGATCGGACCGTGCAGGACGGCGATGGACTGACGAATATGCGCCGTGTACTTTTTTTCCACAGCAACTAAAAACCCATGAGACTGCAACTCATCCCAGCTGTCCTAGATTCTCTCAAAACAAAACAGAAGCACAGCAGCAAAGGGTCATGGGAGACTTGGCAGGCCAGCTGTGGGACAGGAAGTGTGGACACAAGGGTGACCGGATGATGGGAAAGTGATGCAATCTGACAGAGTGCATGCTTGACCTCTGAGTTCAGATAACTTATCTTTGCCTTGCATTGATGCATGTAATGCACCTCAATTAGGAGAATTAAGAACCAATTTAAAATAGTTAATGAGTTGCTGGAAGGAAATATGATGTTCCCCAATAAAGAACTGCATTATTCCAGTATCATATTAAAACCGAATTAAGGACAGCCGGGCTTCTAGTGTTTTGGGCTAAGCCTATACGCTCAAGACTGTGTGAAAGCATTTGGTTATCCACCCCTCAGGATCACCCTCAGCAGTTGGGAATGGCCTAAAATAGACTGGTTCATGTCCTTTGAGAATCGCCAGAGATTTGCTCTCATAGCAACAACCAACACCAAATGTTTCAAGCTTTCTTTTTGGCCAACATCACATCAGA